TGCAGGAGTGAAAGAAACACCAGCAGCAACTTGGTGAACACCAAAGGAGCTGTCGTGAGCCCCAAGGGCATCTCTGCCTTGGCAGCATGGTCCCTACTTCCTCCTGGAGCACCCGTGCCCTTTCTGAATCCCCGGGAGGAGGAAAGAAACAAAAACGGCCAGGAGGTGAGGGACGAATCCTGAAGAAGGGGAATACCTAGACCCTCCCTGACCACCGACAAAAGCCCAAGCGTCCTCTGTAATATCCTGCCACTAGGAAAGGAAAGCAGAGAGACGTCCGCCCACAGGGAGTTCCGGATGGGGCAGATCGAGCCCCTGCCAGACCAGAGAATCGTCTGCCCACCCGGAGCCTGAGCCTGCAGGAGAAGGACATGAGCCCGGGAAAGGAGAACCACCGTCCACCCGGCCATACCCTTCGCCTTTCGCGGCCAAGAAGCAGAAATAGTCAGGAACCCTTCTTCTTGCCCCCAGGAGGTTTCTTACCCTTCCTACCCTTCCCCTTGTTGCCGTTGAAGTGAGGTTGGGACTTGGGCTGTGCAGAAAACTGAGCAGCCGAAGACTTCGCCTTCTTCTTAGGAGGCACTGACCCCTGCGAGGCACTGGCCTTCTCAGCCTGAAACCTCTTCACCAGAAGTGCTGAGGCGACCGAGTCCTCCTTCATATCCTTCTGAACCCAAGGAAGAGCTCCCCTGAACAGGGTAGAGCCCTAGAAGGGGGCATTCAACAAGCGGAAACGGTAGGGTTACTGGACTGGGCGGAATTTCAGAACTGAAAACTGCCTAGCCAACACGGCATTGACGAGCAGAGAACCTGCAAGGCTGCCGTGTCCTGTATGTCGGCTGTTCTGTCTCGGATAACCGACACTCAGGCAAATCGGATACCCTGTATAGACAAACTGTCAGGAAGTCTATGTATGACAGAACTTGGATGGAGAGGTGCAACATTCTCTCCATCCTGTGGTGCTCTTTGGGATCGAGCACCACCTGGTCCACTGATTTGCCGGGCCAGGCAGCCAGCTGTCTCAACTCCAGCTGTGCTGGTTGAGAGGCCAGCTGCCCATCATGTGTGGCATAGTCGGAAGCTGAAGCCTCCGACAATTCACCAACACTGAGCTGCAGACCGACAAACCCGGGAGCACGGGTAGAGAAGGAGTCCTTCTCTAAAACCGGAGCCCGGGCCGTGGCCAGAACCGAAGACATGATATTGCCTTCTGGCAGAGACCGATCTGAGCGAACGGAAGCCCGAGGAGCCACCAGGGAACCCAGAAGGATGGTGGATTCAGGCGCCGACGATGCTGAGGCGGTGGGCAAACCTCCGCCCTGAGAATCCGGGAGATGTTGGCCCGGAGGACCCGCATCCCAGAAAGCACATGCTGAGCCTCGGCTTCAGCAGTCTCAGGGCCATCTTCCCCTTGTGAACCCTCTTGGCCCAGGAGAAAGATGAATGACATCGTCTTCCTCTGCCGAGCCCGCACCCTCGATGTCCATCTCCTCCTCAATAGAGACCGAAGTCCCCTTGGGAGGAACAGGGGCCGCCAGAGGAGCCATCTCCGCAGAGGGGAACTCCTCTTTATGGCATTTGGACGCAGCGCGACCAACAGCTGTAGCTGTAGGCTTGGGTCGGAGACCCGAAGCCGACCCCTGGGAACAGGAGACCGACGGGTCCGCGCTGGAGGCGGAAGTCCTTAAGGTCTGGCAAACCTTTATAGGACCGGCCAACAAGGCCCCCGAAGTAGCAGAACATTGGGGGGATTCCGCACTGCTATAACATCTCCTAGAGGAGAGACCAACCCCTATGGGTTCCACGAGTGAAGACCCATGGGGTAAAAACTCAAACCCCTGAGGGAATGGGAACGGTCCAGCGGGCCGGGAGTGACCCCAGAACTGGCCAAGATGGCCTGCCTGAGTCTGGGGCTGGACATCCTGTCCAAAGGACCAGGATGAACCGCCACTCCCACCAGGTGGAAACCCAGACATGTACGGGCTAAGCCCGTAACTGCTGAGTAACTGTTGGTACCCAAAACCATCCGCAGGTTGGCCTGGGCGACCCAGGAATAAGTGCCTGCAGGCACCCCTACTCCCTGAGCCCGGGGGAAAGGGAGACCGGAAACCAGACTCCTGGCCTGAAGCCCCAAACCCTTGGAGGAAAACCCCCTGGGAAACCCTGCACTGGGAAATCTGGATTGGGACGGAAGTCCCAGAGCCAGAAGCCTGTGAGGGTGGGAAAACAGACCCCGCGCTGACACCAGGATTAGTGAACTCAAGTGTCACTAATCCCCGTAGCCACAGACAATCCTGACAAAAAGTCTGTGGCCCCTGAACCTATACCCGAAGGCAAAGTTCCGGAGTCAAAGCGGCCCCCACCAACGACGCCACCTGGCGTGCCGAGGTCCCTGAAGGAATCAGAGACCTCGACCGGAAGTCCCTTTCCGACGGTAACACCGCCGCCTATCGAGAGCTACCGGCCAATTCGACCCTTGACTGCGCCGAGTCAGGGTCGGGCTGCCCCCCCCCTACTCCAGGACGCACCTGGACAGGGGGAGCCACCCCCTGCTGAAGGGCGGAGCTCGGTGGAACGAGAGCACCCCCAGCAGGAACGCTCTGGTTCAGAACTTCAGAAGGGAGGTCTTAAAAAGCTTACTTCCCTTACCGGAAGAAGAGGACGAATCCCTCTTCCGGTGGAAAGTTAGCTGGAAAGGCATGGGAGCCTAAGCTGCAGACTCCATGTGCAAACAAAGTTCACATAGTGAGGTCTGGCTGCAATGTCGGCAAATGGGACAGGTATCATGGGGTTCCCATTATCTATAGAAATAGGAACATCCATGCGCTGACCCCCGACGTAAACCCGGCACCTTTATCCAGCATCGAAACAATAAAAAATTGTAACAATGAAAACAAGGATAAAAAGTTTTCTAACAATCAAAAAACTACGAACGAGATCATAAAACCTACCGTACGCAGCAAGATTGTACTGCAAAAAAAAGAAAACGGTCGTACAAAACGGCCGACAAAGCAGCAAGAAAACAATTTCAACTTCACGAAAATCCGAGTGACGAGACAAGTAGTCACGCACTTGAACATGCGGAGGAAAAACACGGCCGGAAACGAAGTTCTCGAACAATCAAAAAACTACGAACGAGAGCACAAAGCCTACCGTACGCAGCAAAATTGCACTGCATAAATAAAACGGCCGTACAACACAGCCGACAAAGCAGCAAGAAAACAAATTCCAACTTCACGCAAATCCGAGCAACGAGACAAGTAGTCACGCACTCGAATACGTGGAGGAAAAAACGGCCGGAAATACGGTCAAAATAAACAAATGACAATACTTAATTTCACAATATAAGTTGGGAGATGGGTTTATAGACTACTAATAGAGTAACAATATACTCAAACGACAATGGCAGTACGAAGAGAAGGAGTAAGAAAAGCACTTAGCTCAGACACCTCCGCACTCGTCGGCAGCCATAAAGGTAAGAGGAAGGGAGATCACTCTGCGTTCCTGCCGTGATGGCTCATGGATCGTAGGGAGGGCAGGATTGTTTTTCTTTGAATCTTTTGTTGTTGGGATACAAAGATGGGTGTAGGTACTGTATTTGCATACTAAAGTTATGGTAATTATTACTGAAATGAAATGACAGATTTAGTTCATATTAAAACATGAAACATAGCTTCACCTGACCATAGTCTACATTTGATGAGATTTTTAGGGTCATTGGTCAGGGTAAAAGGTCAGAAGTCACCTGTATCATTTTGATTTGCTATTCACACTATACCACCACACTTCTAAGTTCTACACCAGATTCAATTGAGGTCAAAGGTCACTGTTGACATCTTTTGAAATAAAAAAACTACAAAATATCTCATAAACCCCTTATATATTTACCCCTCAATAGATTTAGATCATAATAAAAAGATGATGTTCTGGGGGTGTATCTATGAGAAACTACATGATATTCACACCATAATATCCTAACATATAATTTTCTATCCGAGTTCTATATCTGATCAGATTTTGATAGTCATTGGTTAGTGTTAAAGGGTGAAAGGTCACACCTGATTATGCAATATAAAAAATCTTGTATACAAGATATCTCATGAACCCATCAACAGGTTATACCATAGATTGAATTGTATTTGGTCAAGGTCAAACTTGACCTCTTTGTAATTTAAAAGGTGAGAGGAGTGAATTATATCTATCTATATTTTCACAAGTAAATATAGGATGGAGCATCAACACAAGGGATTCTGTAATTTAAACCTTATTCGTTGACATGTTTCTTCTGAACAATTTTACATTGAGAAACGGAGAGCTGGATTACGTTAAAAAAAATTCGACAAAATAGATATGTAATGACTGGTCCAAAAGACTGTTATCTTTAAATTTTCACAGTCAAAAATGCCATACACACTGTAAACTAACACAATTCTATCTCTGGTGTTGATGCTCCATCCTATATCTACTTGTGATTACCTATCGTCTATGGAGCTTTACTAGAATACTCCTGTATCCACCTAGTATTCCTCTACCGATACACTTACCAACCAGTACCACCCACAGGACGTTGTACTCCTCCACCCTTTTGTACTTTTCCACTCTCTATATTTTGTTAACTTAATAAGGCATAATTTTAGTTTTAAAAAGGTAAGGAAATTTCAAGGAGATCAAATTTAGATGAGATAGCACACAGATAAGCATTGAAAGCATATAAGTCTCCATTATTTCAGTGATTAGGTCTTAATAAAATGGTTTTATATCTGGTTAAGTCAGTTTGTGTCATTTCATCTTCGATAGAAATACAGATATAGAACTGTGATTTGGTATGTGGTTTTATAATGATGATGATGATGATGATGATGATGATGATGACGACGACAAAGTCAATAATATTATCAAGTTCCAAAATTACTTCTCTCTGGTTTCAATCAGAGGCATTCATGTTGCTGCGATTCCTGTCACCTCAACACATCTAATCTTTTTCAACATTATTGTTTTAGAGGAAATCCAACAATGCAAAGCAATTCCATATATGCCCTCGGAGGATTGGCTGTCACTGTGAATCGTCATAGCAATGGGCTGGATACTGAGACTGCAAAAGCAGCAGAGGAGAGCGCTGAGTTCATGAGCCCTTCTCATTGGCTGACAGTTGTCATGGATACCATCATGTCTCTGATGGATGTCAATTTCACTCCGAAAGGAAATCTGATTGGTCTTTGTCAACAGGTACATGCTAATTTCATTTTAGTTTCTTTTCGTTAATTGTTGCTTTAAGTCCTATGAAAAGCCCGAGACACTGAAGGACATGCCAGATTTTGGTTATGCAGGAAAGCTTGAGTTCCCAGAGAAAAATCACCAACCTGTGACCAGTACCTAGCGACTGCCCAATGTAAGCCTTCGACCCAATGCCCAGAGGTGGAGGGCTAGTCAAAGAGATGGTCAGATGTGTTGACCACAAAATATAATTATTAAATATGAGACTGCATAAATTTCTAGAAAATAATGACTATTGAATGAAGAATGATGAATGTTTATCTAAATATTTTGTAACAGAAGAAGTTACTGACTTTCTGCTTGAAACAAAACAATATTCAGTTGCCGTCCAAGCTGTCATGAACATATCTTGTTGGTAGGAAAACCCTTATGAGGAAAGTATCACTGACTACTTCTGCCTGTTGTATCATTTAACAGAAAATAGGTTATTATATAGAAATAATTTTGTCTATTTCGTCTACTTCTCTTGGGTCTGCCCTTTGTAAATGTATTGTTCTGAGAAATATTTCTTTTATATAATGAAATGGAGAAAACATAATTGGAAATTTATTCTTAAAGAATGACAACAATAATTAGATAAATGAAAAGACGAAAATAGATGGATGACTGCTGTGATCAAATTTTATTCTGAAAAACAATTCAGCTGTTATGTGTACAATTCTGACAAATGTGGCTGGCTTGATAGTGCTGGTTGATTGGATCAGTGGTATACGGGTTTTCAAAAGGGAAACATAGTGTCTTTTATATAACAGACAGGCAAAGAGAGACAACCTTGATTGAATGTTAGGATACCATGATTCCACTAGGCTGCACGTTGGTGACAGTCTCAATTAAATCAGCTGCATCAAGATTTAGACAGTTGTACTGTGTGATACATAGATTAGTCTGAGAATATTCACTAACTGATTTCATTAATGATTAATTATCATAACAGAAAGCATATACCATCCCTATACTTGAAAACCAGGTTTGAAAAAATTGGGGAAACAAACATAAATGAAAAATTTCAAAATTAGTGCATTATGTCATTTTGTTTCAAATTACAAATAGTCCATCTGTCCTTAATCTAATTGTTATTACTATTTCTTAGGAAGTACTGTATGGATCTTACTTAAATTTCATATGTAGTTTCCCCTTGGCATCATATTATGTATGTTCAGTTTTGAGACTGATAAAAAAAACTTTACTCATGTCTGGTCATATATATACATATACAGGACAGTCAGAAAATTTGTGTATTCTTAATTTTTGAGAAATGGCAAAATTGCAAAATTAGCATATTTTCTGCTTTTTTATGGTAATCACATGAGTAATATATCCATAGTGCTTGGGTACCTACATACACCTAAACACTATCTTGTTGTGAAGACTTCTATATTGAATAAATACAAGTCAGTATGTAAATCTCTTATCTAGTATGACTGGTCAGTTAGAACCTACACTAGTATGACTGGTCAGTTAGATGACTGGTCAGTTAGATGTCCAGTTAGAACCTACACTAGTATGACTGGTCAGTTAGATGACTGGTCAGTTAGATGTCCAGTTAGAACCTACACTAGTATGACTGGTCAGTTAGAACCTACACTAGTATGACTGGTCAGTTAGAACCTACACTAGTATGACTGGTCAGTTAGATCTCCAGTTAGATCCTACACTAATATGACTGGTCAGTTAGATGTCTAGTTAGAACCTACACTAGTATGACTGGTCAGTTAGAACCTACACAAGTTTGACTGGTCAGTTAGATCTCCAGTTAGAACCTACACTTGTATGACTGGTCAGTTAGATCTCCAGTTAGAACCTACACTAGTATGACTGGTCAGTTAGATCTCCAGTTAGATCCTACACTAATATGACTGGTCAGTTAGATGTCTAGTTAGAACCTTCACTAGTATGACTGGTCAGTTAGAACCTACACAAGTTTGACTGGTCAGTTAGATCTCCAGTTAGAACCTACACTTGTATGACTGGTCAGTTAGATCTCCAGTTAGAACCTACACTAGTATGACTGGTCAGTTAGATCTCCAGTTAGAACCTACACTAGTATAACTGGTCAGTTAGAACCTACACAAGTTTGACTGGTCAGTTAGATCTCCAGTTAGAACCTACACTTGTATGACTGGTCAGTTAGATCTACAGTTAGAACCTACACTAGTATGACTGGTCAGTTAGATCTCCAGTTAGAACCTACACTAGTATAACTGGTCAGTTAGAACCTACACAAGTTTGACTGGTCAGTTAGATCTCCAGTTAGAACCTACACTTGTATGACTGGTCAGTTAGATCTCCAGTTAGAACCTACACTAGTATGACTGGTCAGTTAGAGCTCCAGTTAGAACCTACACTAGTATGACTGGTCAGGTAGATCTCCAGTTAGAACCTACACTAGTATGACTGGTCAGTTAGATGTCTAGTTAGAGCCTACATTAGTATGACTGGTCAGTTAGATCTCCAGTTATGGTAGTCTTCAAGAGGAACCTTCCAATTTTCTGAGAAAATGAAATCACAAAAAATAAATAAACAAGAATTACAAAAGGTAATTTTTTGGATGTTTATAAAAATTGTGCTGTGCAAAAATATCCCGATAAACAGGTCTGTTTTTGAGTTACTTGGTAAAGACTTGCAAATTTTGAAAGAGCAAAAAAAGTAAAATGTAATTCTTTCTTTATCTTAATTTTGTTTTCGGTCTTTTAAGGAAAAATAAATTTTGATATTTCCTAACATGTCTAATTCTTTTACTTTAGCGGTCAGTGGATGATCGTTTGCCAGCAAGCCTGCTAGCACAGGCATCAGCTTCTGTTGCCCTGAGTCAGGTTGTACCTGCACTTATCACACTGGACGTTGACAGAATTTATGTCATCATCAATTTCCTCCTGTCATGGTTGCCAGGACAAGGAGATGTTCCAGAATCCCCTGTTCTACAGTATCATGGTGGACTTGGATTGGGAATGTTCCTGTCACGTCTTTTAGAAGAACACTTTGCTGACATCAGTGGAACTAAGGTAACTTTCAGTAAGGATTCTTATCCCTTAAGTGCACTTGGTAAATGACCAATCAAAATTGATCTTGTAAGATAAATGACCAATCAAAATTGAGTTTGTAAGGTTAATGACCAATTAGATATGTTCAAACCAATCAAAACACTTTTCATTTATTAGAATTAAATTTTGTTTCCAGGGTATGTTACAAATCTGGAAAAGTTTTGACAAGTTAGAAGAGTGTAGCCTTACAGCCGGCTTAGAGAACAGGTAAGCTTCCCTGTATTTGATCCCTTTATCAAAAAATGTTTTTATATTTATCTAATAACAAAAATGATATTGGAAATGAGACCATGACTACATAGACTGGTTAATGGGGCTTCATGTATCAGACAGTACCATTAAAGAATGGAAGGGGAGGTAATCAATTTACGTGATATTCAGATTTAGAATTTACAATGAACATAATGTTGTCTTGGATGATTTTAAGTTTGTAAATGTGTTCTTCATTTAAATTGTACAGCAAGTCATGAAAACCATTCAGTTATCACTATTTATTTGTCTTTTAGATGTGTATGCCTTAATGAATCTGGAAAATTTTGTTTGATTCTGAAAATATTTTACATTGTTTTTTTTAAGAAATTTCACCATCATTTCTGTGTCCGCCATTTAGGTCAGGAGCCATCTTAGGTCTGGGTATGGCTGTCTGTGCGATGTGTGAGGAAGGGAAAACAGAGAGTCGAGCTCATATTGTGTCTGTTTACGACAAAATGCTGACCCTGTGTGACGACATTGACCCCTTAGACAATATATTCCAGGTAAAGGATGCCTTTAGTCCTGACCTTATAACAATATAGTTAGGCATAGGTTTAGTTCAACTTCATGGTGACCTTGGGTGACTGGTATAAAAAGCAACAGACATTGATTCAAATTTTTAATCAAAATAATCGAAGCAATAATTGTTAAACTTTTGTAAACTTATCACTCACAGAATTCATTGGAAGCTACATGTATTTGTGTTACAAATTTTGGTGTGGTTTAGGAGAACAGAGACTCTGTTACTTATTTTTCTGTGTTTATTTGAGATGAAAGACTGTATGATAAAGATAACATAGGTTAGACTAATATAACTATTATATACCATTGTAGACAGGAATAATACCTGCAAAATGTCTGCTGGCACCGTAATTAGTATAACTGAAATATGCCCAATCAATCACGGTAGCTGCCTGCTGACAGTATTTAAACACACAGGTAGTTGCCTGCCTTAGTCCTTACACTCTTTTCAAATGAACAGCAAATTACAGTATTCTCAAACTTACCATATTTTCCAGGGTATAAGCCACAATGGTGTGTAAGCAGAAGGGCCAGTTTTTAGCTATTTTTTTATTTGATCCCCATATAAGCCACACCCTTGCTTACAAATGGACAATGGAGGGCAAGTTATCAAGATCGTCAGTGAAACCTAACACAGATAATCCTTTATGTTATTGATGTATTTCAAAAAATGTAAAATAGCAAATATCGACTCATTTGGCCTTCACAGATTGTCTATGGTCAGAAATAGGACCTAGCGTTAGGTACGGTTTACTAAGCAATCTCTCTGCTGATGTCTGTACATTTAAATATTATTGAAGGCCCTTGTATGCAGACCAAGTCTTATAGACCCATGTTATTTCTTCTTGTAGGTTACTCAGAGTCTTTCATATTGTAAACAATCATGGCGGTCATTCTAGAATTTGACCTATAACCCGATTTTTTTCCTCTTGCCGATTTTATTCTCCATCCACATATAAACAACACTGGTATATAAGCTGCATGCCCAACTCACAGGTAAAAAGGTGCTGCTTATAATTAGGAAAATGCAGTATTCATTTTCTGAACTCTCCTGCTCTTGTGTCACACACTCCTTTTTATACCTGTCCCTGAGGTCGCAAGATAAAACAAAAATACATAAAACTAATGTATTAGTGAAAGTATATTATGTTTGTAAAGAAACAACACTTTTTAAGACATATAATGGAATGCATAAAACTTATAACTAAACATGCTACAATGATATTTGTGAAAATTTCAATTGCATTGGTATGTGAAAGATTAAGTGAATACTAGCTTTTGCAAAGGACCATTTCTAATTGTCCACATGAATATGTGAACCCAAATTGCAATTCATTTTCAGTTTACATACAATTGACCTTGACCTTTGACATTGCAGTCGGTCAGTATGTGCGTTGCTTGTATTGCTGGAGCTGGATTTAGTGGTAACATTCTGACAGTGACCAGAGTGAACGCAGCTGTGGACAGACTGATGACCATTCACTCTGATCATCCTCAGGTAAGGCTTTAGCCAATGGACTAGATCAGGTAGCACTACCTGGTGTTGGACACTTACAGCTTGTTCTAGGTTCAAATCCCAGTGTGATGAATTACATTTCTTCAAGCTTGATAACAATATATCTAATCTCACTTATTTCCATGCAGATAAATTTTAGTTGTATTGCTGATCAAATTTGACAAACAGGATTACCTTTTAATAAATGTCTGAAAAATATGCATAAATATTCTGTTTTGATAGAAGTCCATTTTCTAGATATTTGTTGGGGAAAACAATATGTGGAGAAAAATGTTTGAAATAAAATGATGTGTATAAAACTGATTTTGAAGCTTTATTTCTCTGAAAGATTTGATTAAGTTTATATGATTAATTGATGATTAGAATAGCTGAGGCAATTTTTAACACCTGTAATGAGTTATTTCAAAGCAATTTCAATTCACAGGTGACTGGGGTATGTCTGGCTCTAGGCATGTTGTGTTATAACCTCAAGAGGGCAGGACACCCTGGGATAGGGGACAAGCGGATGAAGCTGTTCACATCCTGGATGAAGGCCATATCATCAGAGGTAAAAAATTTACATGTTTAAAAAGTTAAACGAAAATACAATTTCCTAAAATTGGAGGACTGTGCTAAAGACATGCATCAATTGGTATCTTTCTATGCAAATTTAGTGTTCTGTGATGTAGAATACTGGAGGTCATGAATTAGAGGTTAGTTTGCTGAGTTTATTGCCAGGGTCATTTTCTGGATGGGTCTACTGGTATTGGCTGATGGCTACCTCACTGAGTGATGTATAAGAAGCCCTTCACATACACTTCAGAGCAAATACAGTAAAGTGTCTTGCCAAAGGACAAAACCACATCAACACAGTTCATTTCTTAGCTTCCTGAGAAAAACAAACCACCTTGGTTATACTGTTGAACCTCCCACCTCCAGTTTTCACCTTCAATTATGCAGACTAACACTTGCGACAGAGATATCATGCCCCAGTACATCAAGTTATATATAAAAATAATAGTAGAAGACTAAGATTGATATAGTTTGCTTTAAGAGTCAACCATTTTGCTTTAAATTGTTCAAGAGGAGACCTGAGAAGAAGTTATCGAATAATTTATCATTTTATTGACTGATTTACATAAATCTTGCATAGTAAATAATATTTCAAAATTTTGGAAATTGATGGAATAATATGTATACTTGACTTGCCAGAAGATGCAGTGTTTGTTAAATAAAAAGTGTTAAAATGAATAAAACATTGATCATTATATGTGCATATTAACTTAATATTTCATAATTGAATTTGGAAGTTTCAAATTGAATCCAATGTTTTATGAATTTTCAGCAAACAGCCCCCATGGAGAAGGTAGCCATGTTGAATGGACTGATGGCTTTGATTGGATCAGAGAGAACACTTATACCAGTGGGTTATTTTTCTTTACATTGTTTCATTGTTACATTTCTTCTTTGGAATCTTGATTCTGTAGTAAACTTTTTAAGAACTGGATAAGCCAGAATGAGGTAAAGGCCTTCAAAAGCAACTTAGAAGATGAGTTTTTCTCCGTTTTTGTTTTTATTTTTTATTTATTTCCTACTGGAGTAAGTCAATAGTCTCAAATGATCTGTTTGCATTATTATTCTAAACATTAAATGGACATAACTCTGGAAAAAATAAATGGACCATTACCACGTCAGAGAACTTCATCTACATATTATACATACCAAATTACCTGTAAATGAGTGGAAAAGCAGATTGATGGATTGTTTGTAAGTGTGATACTGTATGCTGAGCTGACCATAAAAAAATTCCAGGGGCATATAAAAAAATTACCATTTTTTATTCGTTAAGTGATGTTGCCTTCTTTGTAGGTCCAAAGTAGTGCTGTCAGTGGCAATGACCTCAATATCGATGATGTCATCAAGGTCGCATCACAGATCGTCACCAGTGGAAACGACTTGGGAATTCAGAACAATGCAGCATGGATGTTGGGGCATCTGTATTTGTCAGCATGTGCTGTGGCCGATACAAGGGCTAGTGGTGAGTTTGTTTTTAGTTTGTGTGGGATGCATTTTTTAAAAGGATTGAGAGAAAAATATCTTATTTTTGAGGTTGGTGTATATTCCCTAACTCTGTTAGGTAAGATTCTTTTTTTATTTTTTTTTTTTCAGGATTAAAGTGAGAATGATTTGATTAGATGAAATATCTCTTTGAATAAATTATTTGCATGATTTCCAAAAATATATGTTTTTGTTTTTATGACAGGTCAAATTGAAAATCCTACCATCTTCTTTTTTGAACAAACTCTTTAATTGAACTTTTATTCTGAGGGTTCAGACAGGTGCTGGAAAACTCTTGGAATATTTTGAATTTTCTTTGATTTACTTTTTCAAAATTCTTTGAAGAATTGAAATTCATTGTCTTCTTGATATTGTCTGTTTTATTTTTCAACTTAGAGTTAAAGAAGGTTACTATGATTGAAGGCATGCACCATTTTGATGTTTTGTAATGCTGTGCATGTTTATATACATATATACTTATACCTAAAATTTTGTTTCATATGTTAGCACTAATGACAATGAAGAAAGGCTGTTAGCAGGAAAAGTTTATTAACTTTCATAAATTAAGTGCTGGAAAATTAAGAAAATCTCCCTGAAGACTCCTTGAATATTTTCAAGCAAAGTCTACATTAAATTTGATTCAACAATAGGTACTAATATCTGAGTGGAATTGCACATTTACTAGATTTTTTTCAATAGCATGTAAAACCTAAACATAGCAGTTGTAAAAGATGTTCAGTATCATGTGTAATGACTGTTTTGTTACAGTGCCTTCTACCTTTGGTTACCTGCCCGAGAAAAGTTTCCTGCGAGCTGTAGTTGACTTTGTGTCAGAGGCTGGCAAAGCAGGTTAGTGCTGGTGTCCAAAATTTGTGAAGATGATTTATAGTCACAATATAGTTTAAGAATTTTCTCTTTAAGATTTGATTAATCAATGACGTGGACATTTGTTTTGAATTTTGTTATCTGAATAAAATACAAGGATAAAAAAAAATAGAAAAAGAAAAATTCTGATGGCTAACCTACCTGATATTTTCATTTTCAAAGATAATTTAGGTATTGAAATTTTCTTTCAGGAGCAGAAACAATACCAAAGAAGCAAGTTAAAGTGGCCTTGACTTCACTACAAGAGGAAGTGGAGCAAGCACTGCCCCCTATCAACTGGGCAGGGTTGTTAACGCCAATGATGAGGATGGGCTTTGGTAAGCCTTTGATGTATAAAGCATCAGGAATGAACATTGTTTTGACAACATTCAACATGTAAACTGAGTGGTAGACGGAAAAACTTTTGAGTGCGGTAGATTTTAAATCATGGCTTGGAGAGCCAAGTAAGCTTTATGGCATACTGTCAACCTTTTTCCTAAGAATCGCAACAAGTCAGAAACAATTTTCACAATTTTAACCAAATTTGGTCTGAAGCATCCTTGGATGTAAAAAAAGAAGACAATTTGTATAAATGCTGGGTCTCAGCTCCCAGGACCCTGAGGGATGGGGCTCAAAATTTTAGAATCATTTCCTCCTGTAGGAATGATAGGATTTTGATGAAATTTGTCAAAAGCATCCTTAGGTGAAGAAGAATCAATTTTGTATAAACAATGGGTCTCAGCCCCATGGGTGGGAAGGGCAGGGCAAAATAGGAGATATAAAGCAAATCCTTTAAGATCTACTTCTTCTTTAGGAATGATTTGATATTGCCCAAATTTGGTGTGAAACATTCTTTGGTGAAGGGGAAGAAATTCTGTATAAAAAGTGGGTTGTGGCCCCTAGACCACAAAGGTCAGGCCAAATCCTACTCCTCCTATAGGAATGATTGGATTTTGCCAAAAATTTGTTTGAAGCATTCTTAGATGAAGTGGAATCAATTATGTATAAACATAGGGTTTTCGCCCAGTGGGATGGGACGAGCAGCAACAGCAGGACCCGATTGTGGAAATAGAGCATATCATTTCTAATCCTACTCCTCCTGCAGAATAAACGAATACCGCCCATATTTGGTCTGAAGCATTCTTGGGTGAAGGGGAATCACTTTTGTATAAATGGTGTTTCTTAGCACCCTAGGACAGAAGATATGGGGCCCAATACGGGAAATAAGGCATATCCTTAAAAACAATTCTTGTGTAGGAATGCCTGGATTCTCTCCAAATTTTGTCTGGGGCACTTTTTGGTGAAGGGGATCAACTTTATATTGAGGCTCCCTTGGGTGGCAGAAATTGTAGAAATAGAGCAAATTCTTTGAAATCCTTTGACTGATTCAATTTTGTCAAGATTTGATCTAAAGTATCCTTTGGTGAAGAAACTTGTCTTTGGATCAATAATGGCAATAGATACAAATATTCCAAATACTTTTCCTTTAGCTTAAATTAATAAATGTCAGCAAGTGAGTTTTTGTTTTTGTTTTTTTTTTTTTTTGTTTCCCAGAGAACGATTTTCATGTATTTGGATACATTTCTTACCATTAACTGTTGTTTAGGTGATGAGGTGCGACATCTCAGTTTAAAGTTAGCAGTGAAACAGAGTGGATCTTCTCCAACAGCAGCCATGTTCCTCACTACCTGGATGACCTTGCCTTTGCTAAGCACGTTGGATGTAAGTTTGAAAGAGCAGTAGATATTGTTATCAGATTCTAAAACATATAAATTTTATCTGTTTAAACACTTCCTTGTAGGAGATAGATTTAGCAGCAATTTGTGTTAAAGGCCAAGAAAATGCTAAGAAAAGACTTCTCCTTTAATACAAGAAAACAAAATTCAACCTAATTTGGTTAGAATCAGTAAAAGTATCTATAGATGTTACCTACTTCTTCAGTGGGAAGAGACAGATTTTAATCTTTTGTATGAAGGGTACCTTAAGTCAAAGAGAGAAAATTCATATAAAAAGATTTTACAAATTCAATTTGAATTGTTGATTCCTGAACTAAAAGAAATGTTTATAGAAGGTTTTGCAAACTAGTAGAAGTACCAATTTAGTCAGGGGATGGGCTTATTACAGGACATTGAAATAGTATTGGGTTATAATTTTACTGAACAGCGACAAACAAGTATAAGGGCTAGCATACTCCACTAAAACATTAATCCTTCCCACAGACTCCAGGTGTTGTTTCAAGGTACCAGCCATAGCATTTAATTGATAGCTCAGAAGTAATAGGCTGGAAACTGAAGCTGAGGTCAAGTATATGTTTTACTGGAATATTTCTATGAAGGTTTATCAGGAATGAGATTAATGCAGGATGAGCACCGTGCTGTCGCTGGTTAAATCACAGTGCTGTCGCTGGTTAAATCACTGTGCTGTCGCTGGTTAAATCACAGTGCTGTCGCTGGTTAAATCACAGTGCTGTCGCTGGTTAAGTCACAGTGCTGTCAATGGTTAAATCACAGTGCTGTCGCTGGTTAAATCACAGTGTTGTCGCTGGTTAAGTCACTGTGCTGTCGCTGGTTAAATCACAATGTTGTCGCTGGTTAAATCACAGTGCTGTCGCTGGTTAAGTCACTGTGCTGTCGTTGGTTAAATCACAGTGCTGTCGCTGGTTAAATCACAGTGCTGTCGCTGGTTAAGTCACTGTGCTGTCGCTGGTTAAGTCACAGTGCTGTGGCTGGTTAAATCACAGTGCTGTCAATGGTTAAATCACAGAGCTGTCAATGGTTAAATCACAGTGCTGTCACTGGTTAAATCACAGTGCTGTCAATGGTTAAATCACAGTGCTGTCAATGGTTAAATCACAGTGCTGTGGCTGAATAAGTCACAGTGCTGTGGCTGGTTAAATCACAGTGCTGTCGCTGGTTAAATCACAGTGCTGTCGCTGGTTAAGTCACTGTGCTGTCGCTGGTTAAATCACAGTGCTGTGGCTGGTTAAATCACAGTGCTGTCAATGGTTAAATCACAGTGCTGTGGCTGGTTAAATCCCAGTGCTGTCGCTGGTTAAATCACAGTGCTGTCAATGGTTAAATCACAGTGCTGTCGCTGGTTAAGTCACAGTGCTGTCGCTGGTTAAGTCACTGTGCTGTCGCTGGTTAAGTCACTGTGCTGTCGCTGGTTAAATCACTGTGCTGTCGCTGGTTATATCACAGTGCTGTCAATGGTTAAATCACAGTGCTGTCGCTGGTTAAATCACTGTGCTGTCGCTGGTTAAATCACTGTGCTGTCGCTGGTTAAGTCAATGTGCTATCGCTGGTTAAGTCACAGTGCTGTCGCTGGTTAAATCACAGTGCTGTTGCTGGTTAAATCACAATGCTATCAATGAAATATTTGTTCATCTTTCACAATATGTTACGAGAACATGTATATTAAAAAGGCAATACTTTGTTATCTAACTTAAGAATTTACTTAATTCCTTTAATTGTCAACATTTGATTCTTCACCATTTGTACAGGAGACTTGTCAAGTTGTCTTGTATGACGCCTTACCCCATCTGATTCGCTCCATTGCACCGACAGCAATCGGCTCTCTCTTGGGTGTAGGATCCAGCGAACCATACATCGGCCTCGATGGAGTCACAAATCCATCTCTACTGCATGTCCTGACAGGACTGACCAATGCACTGAAGGTCAATGACCCACCCGAGGCAGTGACTGCTGTCCTCTACAAAGCAGTGGAAACATTTCATGCTAAACTGGCACCATCAACAGAAGTAAGGAATATTTTGTATTCAGGAAACATCCTTAAAACTTGCTATTCTTGTAGATCATTGACGAGAAAAGGAACATAGACAATTCAAAAATGCCTATATAACTTTATCTTTTCAATCTGCATGCAAATGAATACTTGTTTGAACTTAATCAACAGTAACGTTGACACAAATGCTAAGTTTTCATGGTAAAATATCACTGTTTCCTAATATGCTGGTAAATGGCTTACATTGATATTGATTTGAATCTAGAATTCTTATTACTACCAGGATGAGTGCAGGTGTTGTATTTTGAAAACTCAAGTTATGGTACTTATTACTTTGATAGAATTGAGGTGTATTAAGTATAACCATTCACAATGTGATACTTTTCATGACTTTATAGAGTCCAACCCATTTTTTCTCCACTTTCCTTCTCATCCTGATTGCCCTTTCGGGTTCCATAATGCTTTTGAGAAATGCAGATCACTTCATGTCTCTAACTTTGGGCTATGGTTCATGTGATGGTAAGGAGTTTGGATATTTGAATCTTTTATTCTTTGGGTTACAAAAATGGTTGCAGGTACTGTATTTGGGTGCAGGTACTGTATTTGGGTACAGATACTCTATTTGCATACTCAAGTTATGGTAGATATTACATCATGAACATTTGGTAAAGTTAAAAATCCACATATTAATAATAAACCATTTACAGTATAATAAAGGTAATGAAAGTAGGTCACAGTGATCCAGGACTAGGATGTAAAAATATGATTATCAATTTTTAGATGTAATATGAAGCCAATAGCTTATGGTTTAAAAATTGGTTTTTAAAAAAGGGTAAATTTGAAACTTTTGGTTTATATTTAAGGTACCGGTGCTGTGTGTGTTAGCTGATTGTCTGGGTAATCTGCCGGATGATCTGCTTGATAAGATAACGGGTGAGGATTTTCTGTTCGATAAGAATCACTCTACCGGATGTCTGATACGCTGTTACCTTGTAGCCCAAGGGAAGCAACCCATGGCAATCCTCAACAGCTGTATAGATGCCACCTTCAACAGCAAAAGATGGTAAGCACCTGTCACTTTACTTATAGCTGATAACTCTGATTTGCCAAGATAAAATCCACGATAGCTACCATAGCATCTAATTGGTTGAGATGTTTTTACCTGTCCTGACTAATTAATTGGATTTCAGTTAAATTTTGTTGTACTAAGTCTGGTGCTTGGCCAGATCTATTTGAAAATAGCAAAAACATAATAAGTGCCCCTGATTAAAAGTGAGTCACTGTAGAAATATGATGATACTTTTCGTCCTGTCAGTGATGCCAATTTCCATGTGAATGTGAGTGTTTTGTTTTGTTCTAGTTGACAGGATGGAAATTTCTAAATTCAAAATATGATTGCACTAAACTCGGATATAACTAGAGAGTCTTAAGAAACCAATATTGTCATTGTTTTCAGCAACCATTCCCTGATATCCAAGTTTCTTCAGCATTGCTTCTATCAAGTGACCCAGACAAGGTCAGAGTTCACAGGAGTTATTCCAAGGTTACAGTGGCTTGTTGAGCTCTTGGGACATGTCCGTAACATAGCAACAGGGGCGACAACTTTGTCAGATGACATAACAGAAAAAACACAGGTTAGTCTTTGGTATCATTACTCATGATTCTTAAAAAGATTCTTTCTTTTTTTAGCTGAAAATCCAGAGAAATGGTACTCCAAGTTGTTAGGCTCTGTCAACTTCATATTACTATACTATAACTATACCATAGACTTGTAGTCTTGTATGCAAACCCATGTAAATTGCTGTTCAGTGGAATTAAAAACAAATGCTTTAGACATTTTTTCGTCCTGAAATTAGCCTATGATGTGAGTCAAGGAATATGTGGTGTTGGCCCGGTGAGCTTATATACAAAATAAACACATTATTTTCATATTTGAAACATAACAACTGTTAATGACAGAATAACCTTGAGATGGGCCATAGATAATAATATGGATACTGGAATCATCCTGCCTGCATTTGCAAATATTGTTTGAAGAACTCCTCCTAAACTGATGAAACTCGTTAATAAATATAATGGACAAGATAGAGACAGGGAAGCCAGGTTTTTTGGGTTTTTTTTTTTTTTTTTTTAAATTTAGTTCCCTGATAATTGTGTTTTACTATAACTGGTCATTGCTCATTGGTCATTCAACAGATTTTATTTTTCCACTGTTGTGAAATGGTATAACTAATTAAGCTTATAGTAGGGGTATAAGGGGATGCCAAATATCACTGTAATGGCCCTGACTACCATGCTCTACATAAAATGTTAAGGTCCTTGTGACTAAAACAAAATGTTTGATCTGTAAAGTCTTTGCAACTGCGAGGGGTATAAGTTATCCTCAGGACGACATTTCTTGTTTTGCATGCTTTCAGATTTGAAAGAGCAGAGGGGGTGATGGCTCGGTCCATAGAACATTATCCCACATAAAAACAGTGAAGATCCAAGGTGTACAGTTTAAAACTCTCTACCCATGGTCGTTAGTGGTTCTCAAGGAATTTAGAAACATGCTAGTCTTCACTGACCTGGTTGTGTCCTTGAGTAAAACACTTTACCCTAATCACTCTGGATCATATATGATGGGCCTCCCGTATCTTATTCACTAAGGAAGCCACCAGATATTGAAAGGTGATCCAACCCTGGCAGTTCATGGGCCGATAAACCCATTAAACATACAAAAACTAGACTTTCTCAAAATATAAGGAAAATGATATTTGCCTTTAGACAGAAACCCCTTGCCCTTCCAGAACACCTTGGACTGGGAGACTGTACTTTTGCATTATGTCCATCTGTTTGTTCTTCTGCTCTCTTGTCCAGGCTGTATCTTCTACACTGCTTGTCACTTCATACTAGGGGTATAGTTTACCTTGGTGAGGCAGTGCACTTTGACCTGTATTTTGACCTATGACCTACATAAAGAAACATTTTATTTTGACGCTGTCTTTTACACCCCTAGTCTCTGGGACAAAATTTTGACATAGGTTCACCATGGTGAAGCAGTTTGTCATGTAACAAAAATTGGTTATTCTGACCTACATTTTGATCTTTGACCAATATCAAAGAAAAAGTCTGTCCAAGCTCTAAATCCTACACTATATGTTATGGAATTTCTTACTTGGGGCATTGGTTCACTTCTAGAGCATGCTTGGCATATTATTTGACATTCGATGGGGGAACAGTGTGCTCTCCTTATACTTTCAAGTGTTGATATTCTGCCCTGATTTGATCTGAATTCTGAGTCTGAAATAAGATTTCATCTCATTGACATTTTTAGTTCCCTGCCAGTGAAACTGGAGGGGACTAGTGTTTGTCTCTATCTGGATGTCTGGACGTTGGTTTCCAAACAATAACTTGAGAATAGATGGATGGATTTGAATGAAACTTCAGTTACTGTATGGTTATGAGGTAATACAGAATGGGATTGAATTTGGGGTCGAAACATCAACTGCAAAGGTCACTGTTGCTAAAAATAGGTATTTTTTATCATATTTTGACTTTTAGATGTGATTGAGTTAGGGGTCAAATGATAAGCTGTGAAGGCTGTGAAGGTCACTTGTTTTGGTCATTTATCACCATGTTTAGGACTCCGCATCAAAGATGCGGGAAGCAGAGTTTGTCAGAATAACACCGGTTGTCAACTGACCCATGTTCAAGGTCACTGTGTCAAAAGGTCAAGATCAAATTTACATTTTTACATGTGTATACTGATAATGTAATCAAAAGGTTTTTTTCTGCATTAATTTGTGAATTTTGTGTCCTTCCTGTCAAGACACTGATTTTGGGAGGGAAGACTTTCCATTGCAAAAATTACCTCTGTTCCTGTCTTAGAAAATTAAATTAACGGCAGGGGACAAGCGTTGTCTGCACAACCTGTAAGGATCTTTTTTTTTTCTTTGTTCTTTGTTTCAGAACAATGTTTTAAATGATTGTAAAATAATGAAGTAAAAATAAAATAAAACTCAAAATTTGCATATTAAACAAATTTAGAAGAAAAATTTTGAAAATTAATAAAGTATCTTTGTGAGGATACTTATGATACACCCTCAGAGAAGATAAATCTTCATTAAGATGGTGTCAACTAAAAACACAAAACAGTGAAGAACCTCAGAGTTTGAGCCAAAACATCTTACATATTGAAATAAAATAATGACATTTCTCGAGGAAAGCATTTGAATTTTGGTAAAATCACCTGTTTTTAGGAGTGAAAAATATTTATTTACATGTTCTGTCATACTATATGAAATATTTATGAAATAAAACAAGAATCTATTCAATTTTTTTTAATTGTAAATTTGAAATTTGAAGTAGCAAAATGTCAGTGGAAAAAGAAAACAAATCTGTGTTAATAAGGGCAGGAAACTATTGCTTCAGTAGTGACATATGTTACGATAGACAACAAAACTGTATTGATTTTACCACTATACATAATATTTTACTGTTCAAAAAACCTATTATCTGCTTATCATCACTGCTAAATTGTAATGAGATATGAATTTGAACAAAGACACATAAAGTGTACTAAGCAATTATCAAGTGGAGGAGGGTGGGGAACTTACTTAACACTCTCATAATTTGTCACAGATAAAGATGTTGGCGAGTTTCAATGGAGAGAATAAAAAGTACTGCATTAAATCATCCCCGAACAAATTGTTTTTCTCAAATTGATTGGTTTTTATATTACATGGGTAAAGCTGTGATTAATACATACAAATGTATCTATATAAGATGAAATTTTTTATCTTAAGGTTACAATTAAAACAGGACTTGATTTTTGTTTTTTGGAGTCCAGATTCTGTTGAATTCTGATTTGTTCAGTTCAGAAAAAAAAAATTCAAAAAGTTTGTCTCCACTACTGACATTTACAAAAATATTGCTGTTTATGCCCCAAAAAACCAAATTTTGAAAATTGAAAACATTTGTTTGGTTTTTGCCAATATACTTTAAATTCCAGGTTTTTCTCTTAAGTTGTAGGCAACTGTTGTTAAATTAAGCTCATGAATTTAGTGATATATTTTACTGAAAATTGTGAAATTCTTGGTTGCTAGGTGACAGATTTGGCAGTAGACATCATTGCTGCAGTCTTGTGCCTGTGGATGTCGACGTCTTCTGCGTGTGTTTTAGGCGTCACTCCACAATTACTGGTTTGTCCTGATACATCATCCTCATTAGAAGATTTTTGGTTACCATGGAAATCAAGTGTGTTTCCAAGACAGATCTTACCTGCCTACATCACAAGGATCCAATCGGAGCCCTGGGATCATGTTCTTCCAAAGGTTTGTCAAATTGAAGTAATATAAATGAAATCCAAGTAAAAACAAATCACCATCACCATATTAGCCAACATTTGAATCAACGCTTTTGTAAAATTGTCCTTTTCAAGCTTCATCAACCTAGGCAGGACATATCACAATTGGTGCCTGGTGGGTCTCATCCTTGTATTTCCATCTCCCAAAAGCAGTCTCAAGATGTGATGAAAAGTTCTTACATTCTTTAAAATGACCAATAGGCAAAGTGGGCGTGTCAGGAATGGTCAATTCATTGTTTACAATGTCCATCTCCATGTCGTAAATTTCTATGTTATTTCCTTTCTGAACGATGGACTTGCACTTTGTTATGCGATCTTTCATTTGTGCTTTTGTCTTCTTCAGTTCTGTCTCATACTCATGGAGTGTTTTTTTGTTTTCTTCTTCTTCCTGGCTGCACTTGGATAAAAATTCTTCCAACATTTTATCCACCTGGTCTTTGCATTCTTGTGCATGTTTCTTCATCTGATCTTGAATACTCTTGAATTTTTCAGAATTTCTTGCAAGTCTTAGTTGATTTGCCTGAATGACTAGGTTAATGTTTGCCAACTCCTGTTGTTCGGCAGTGTTAATGAACTCCCGAATTTTGTTTTTCTTTTCTTCTATCACAGCTGATATGTTTTCCAAGTCATGTTTCTTGTGAACTGTTGTGACACACTGGATGCATGCTAACTCATTGTTACAACCCAACTCTTTGCACACGAAGATGACATTCTCTGTCCTGTGATGACAACATAGTTCACTCCCTTTGGTTCTAATGGGTAACTGGCCATCAGTTGAATTAGCCATCATAAAATATTTGTTGTTCGGTTCAGACAAATATCTCGACGTTTCTAGTGATAAAATCTCACAAATTCTACTTTGTAGCTGCTATAGAAAAAACAGTGCACAAATTAAAACTTGAAAATCTGTGTCTTTTGTTATGTTCAACAAAGTTTTAGATATTAAATGCTACCTGTTGACATTAAATTCAAAACCTGAAGTTGTTGACACAGTTACGGTGTTTAGGGGCCTAACTGCCTCTAACTGTAATGAAGGGTTTTGATGTCCAGGTAAAATCCAACCGGGAAGTAAAATCACAAGGTTATCAGGATCTTATCTGTGTTTGTATGGTATGGACACATTCAAGTGTAGAAGATTACAATTTCTGTTCTTAGCAGGTAGACAGTGTTTAAAGATGCATAGGTCCAAAAATGAGTAGATATTTGAGAATTAATTTTATGATTCAATAGGTTTTCCATTTAAAATGATTACTATAAGATTAGAGTTTCATTTGTAAAATATTACAGTGTAGGATATAAAATGCTTGCTGAATAACATTAAGTTTAAAATTAAAATATTGAATTTCTGCCTAATGGATATATGTAAATTTATTGTATATGTCCTATCTTGTAATGTAAATTGATACACAAAAAATAAATAGCTCCCAGGTGGTTTAGTTTATGCTTGGGTTGAATACTTCAGCAATATGTGTGACTAATATGTTCAGTCTCCTAGGACATGGTGTAATCTTGTTTTTAACACATGGCCATTATGCTTGGCAGGTACATACAAACAGGTTGTGTACATGGGTCTGTTCCTCCATCAGGCCATGGGTATTATTTGGAGCATATCTCCAAAACCATGAAAGAAACCCAACAAAACTTTCTACACACATTAGTCAAAACCCATATTAGACTGTATGTAAATGGATAGATATAGAGAACTGCTGTATAGATAACAGACAGAACATATCCTAACTCTTACAAGTTCTAGTCTGGAGTCCTGGTGGCAGGATCCTCGACAGGGTTACAGGCGGGTAGAGAGGGGTGCTGGGTAAAATCCTACAGTCTGTCACTGGTCACTTTGAGTTACACACACGGCATACCAATCATGTGACCACACAAACATTCACACACACACACACACACACACACACGCACACACACACACACACACAATGACAGGTACAGGTATAAACACACCTGGTGCACACATAAAAGAAACTCTTAAGTATTAGTAGCACCAATAAGGTACTACTCCAAACCCAGTCCATGGAACAGACAGTAGAAGAACTGATCAGATATTGTTAATGGTTGAAGTTAATTTGGTGACACAGGAATTAATACCAGAATCAAATAACTAATCCTTTAACTGGTCTATTCAAATTGCCCTTTGTCTGTTGTCCATAAACAATTTTCTTTTTTTATCACTAAGTTTTCAGGAGGACTCTTTCTCAAATATATTTTGTAGTTTCAACTTGGTCCTTATTTGTATGATTGATTGTTGAGTTTGGGATTGATTAGTTGTTTGATTTTGGGCACAATCAGAAAAACAAAATGGTCGAAAGGTGCACGACCATCTTGGATTTGGATTTGATGTATTATCTCTGTTTTTACAAAGGAATGTTCAATTTTTGTATAATTAAGAGCGATAACAGAGAAAAGGTCCATCTTCTAAAGAACAAATAAAGATCAAACAACGGTGGACACCAAGATCCCTGTGGGGTCTCTAGTATAAGCTCACTACCACATACTTACCCCCAGTTTGGTCATTATGGCGCAATCTGTATCAGATAGGGAGAAAGCCAAGGTCTGAAACATGCATGGTTTGTTTATCTAAGGAGGCAGATTCCGACCTACATTTTAGATGTGTTTGACTCTGATTTATTTTTCAATTTATTTAACCTACAAGTTTTGTTACCATGCAACTATGTAAATATTATTGACTTGAAGGATGCATAATACTCCTCCCAGTGATATTTTTATCAATTTTGTACATTGTTGCTTTGTTAAGCTGTATTTATTCTCATAATGAAAGTATGTGCATACCGGTAGTTATCTTAAAATTTGCTTTCTTCATCAGGTCGTTGATTGTTTGATGACACTGTTGTCTCAACCAGACCACATCATTAGCAGCACAACCAGGTCATCACTACAAGGTACAAACCATAGTATTTGCTAATTCATTCTGAAGTCAGCATGTTGAAACATTGTAATTGTCTGGCCCCTTCTGGCAGGGTTCATTAAAATATTGTTTAAAATGTAATACTCCTCTTCGAAAATGAACAGGAATGTAATGCAGATCATATATCCAAGATATTTTGTCATTTATCACTAAAATCAAACTGAAATGTGACAAAAAGGAAAATATTACACATGCCATATATTGTTTTGTTATTCAGTGAAATTTCTGTTTAACACAAGTCATGTTTTCTATTGTGATGGCAGGTTTATAGGTAAACAACGTCACAGCCTAACACATTACAAGACCAAAAAATGTTTTTTCTACAATATTTGCCAGAATAGTCAGGCATGTGATAGAAATGATTATAAATTTAGTTCAGCTTTATAATCAATTGATGAAACTGGTCACAATTGTTTTGCCTTTTTTATTCAAAGAATAGAATGGGCAAATGTAGTCCTTCTGGCATCAGTGTAATCCTATCAAAAAATGTGCAAGTCTTTTGTTAATGAATTTTTTTCAAGCGGTACTGGATTGCTTATGCCAATGAGCAGTTGATTGTAAAATATTTCAAACATTGAAATAAATTATTTGCTGAACCATTTTTTTACCATATTTATGGGGAAAAAAATGAGTCAATTTGTTGATGAAGTCTTGTGTTTGAAGTTTTTTTAGCAAGTTCTATCATATTTATTCAGTAAAACAGGAGATTTGCATTCACAAGAAATGTAATGTCTGTTAGTTAGAGAGTTAATCATTTTATCTGGGTAGCTTCAAATGTCAAAAGCAGCTTGTTTTAGTTCAGAATTTTATCAACATTTTAGTCAATAACCAAGATACAGTCTTGTCCTTAATGTTAAATATGTGCTATTCTTCCAGGTTCTCTGCAGATTTTGAGACATTCAACAACCTTCAGGACACCAACTGTTTGGACAGAGGTTTATGATGCTGTGCAAGTGAAATAAAACTCTACACTCTCTATATACAAACTTTTGTTTGGAAATAATGGAGTCTTCAGTTATTTTCTTTCTACCCAGGAATGTGATAAAACAAGAAATAAAAATGTCAACAAGAATGTTATTTATTTTTTTCTCTCTCTCGCTCTCCTACTCTCTCCTTTCTCAGTTCACAATTGAAATCTCCAACTCTGTCTTAGTTTTAGAATATTATTTAGTTTTTAGAGGTATCAAACCCAAATCACACATGAAATATCAATACATTTTTTTGTGCTCAACAGAACACATTTTTAGGTCATGGTTGCCAACTGGTTTAAGTCAGTAGCCCTCTACATCTGGATGGCAGGCTTGAAGCTTATATATGGGACAGTTGGCAGATACTGACTGCAGACCAGTGGTTTTTCTTGCAGGAACTCCAGCTTCTTCAATCATCTAATCCTTGAATGTCTTTAAATGACCCCGGATGTTTTAAAATTGGATGCAATGTAACACTCACTTGGATCTTTATGACCAACAGTACTATATATGTGCATATGTTCCACGTTTAACACATTTGACCCCTGTGACCTTTAATATGGGTCAAGGTCATTTCTTTTTGCAAACTTTCTTGGACTTCATAAAAGGAACATACTGACCAAATATAATGATTTTAGGCATTTCGATACTTCAGAAGAAATTGTTAAAACATTTTAGCACATTTGACCCCTGTGACCTTGAAGATTGGTCAAGGTCATTTCTTATAGTAAACTTCGTAGGACACCATAAGAGGAACATAGTAGCCTAATATAATAATTCTAGGCCTTCTGGTATTTTAGAAGAAGTTGTTGAAGGTTTTAACACATTTGACCTCTGTGACCTTGAATATGGGTCAAGGTCATTTCTTTTTGCAAACTTTGTTGGGCTTCATCAAAGGAACCTTCTAGCCAAATATGATAACTCTACACCTATCGTTATTTCAGAAGAAGTTGTTGAAATGAAAAGTTGACAGACGCAGTATAACCTCACTTGGCCCTTTGGGTCAGGTGAGCTAATAAATTAAACATTTCAGGTATTTAGAACAGATAGACTATCATTGTCCCATACTATAAAAGATATGTCAACTTGAATTTGGCATGGAATGGACCCAAAATCCAACATGGCTGTCTATGGGACTAAGGAGAAACTTTTTCATGAAATTTGAGAACAGCATATCTTCTCAAGATACAGCAATAAGAAGAATGATTGTTAGACTGACAAAGGGCATTTTGACTGCCTGTCATCTTAAGACTTTGGGGTAAAAAACAGAGGCACAACAAATTTGGTTATCTTTATTATTTAACACTATATCACAACGTACATGATTGTACACAAAAATTTCTCCTGAAAGAAAAAACCTCATATTCCTGTTAAGTTAATGATTTTTGAGAAATGCACACTTCTCTCTCACGTTTAATCCATAGCAACATCGACATTTTACGAGAATAAAAAATCTAAATATGAAGCTTTTGAAGGCCTATAAACATGAGTACAATATCTATTTACTTCTGGAGTTCAAATGGGCGCCATGACTTACAAAAGAAATACTTGATATTTCAGTCAATGATTTGAAATGTTGTAATGGTTTGGGGTGAAAATATTTTACAAGATGATGCAAATATGGATTTATGATACCTTGATAATTACGAAGCATATTTGTAAATTATCAAAACTAAATTCTTTGAATACATTATTCAACTCAATTCTGATTTTTTCTCAGAAACATGTCATACTGTTTTCAAATTTTAATCGTATTAAGGTTTATACTCAATTATAAATGTTGAAATGTGAAAGATTTTTTTTTTTAACTTCCCTTCGTAATTTCCTTTTATAAGCATACAAAGAATGTTCATTACTTTGTCTTTTGTACAGTAAAACAATCCTTTCTGATATTTTATTCCTTTTCCAAATAAAACAGTTTTTTTATTTCACTTTTCAAATTTTCTCCCTTGTATTCTCTTTCATCATTTCCCTTCAGGTTGTCTCCTTTGAATTTTGCTCACCATGCTTTCACATACATCTTTTGGGTTACATAATCTTGTTCCAGAATTGAAAAGAATAAAAGTTGAGAATAAGACAAAAACAAATGATTTTAAACTTGATACTTAGACAGAACACAACATAAGCAGACACTTTTATTTTCATTCTAAAGATTCTTGAAAGTGTCGTGTACCAGTAATCCTATGTAATTACTAAGACTTCTTTTACTGGAAAATGCCTTCAACTCCAAATGCCAAACATGTTTCAATAAAGAGTATGTTTTTTTTACTCTGCAAATACTCAAGGGGCCATTATACCACTAATTACCCGAAATCAGGAGCGTGTTTACTGCAGGATAATGCAATATCATTGAAATATATATTATTGGACATTAATGTTGATGGGAGAGCTTATCATGTACCATGGCCTTATTGCTGCAAAAATTCAGCAAGGTCTTGATCATGATGAAATGATTAGATTAACATTATCAAATGTTCAGGAAGAACTTGTAGTAACTAAATTATTTGATATGTGTATTTTGCAGATGTCACCGAAATGGGAAAAAAATATATTACTTTTCAATTATGGAGACATTTGTCTAAGGTTATTTTCATCCTCAAATCAAATTTTTTATATTCATCAAATGTTTTAAATTTGCACCCTGAAATATATAAATACACTTCACCTATAATAACATGGAAGAATAGGCTACTTTCTATTTTCACTCCTACTAATTTATGAAAGGGCAAACCAGACAAAAGTGAGACTGCAGCAACAAGAGACCTTACAGCCTTGACGGTCACCTGAGATAAGCAAATTTGAACATAAAGGTTAAAAGGCAGTTATCAAGTGTCATGAAACAGAAATTCTGACATTGAATCTAGTAAACCAGTGTCAATACATGCATACCATCAAGACTGTCATCCTATACTGATCATTCTTATTAAGTTATTTCTTGTGGGAAATAGCCAGCATTAAAAATACTATTTTTCTATGCAAATTACGGTCGTCTCAAAAAACATATTCCTTCCCAGGAAGAAATGAGAGACTCATTTTGGTAATTAGAGCACTTAAATGCTTCCATTCATGAAGAGTATTTGATTCTACCATATCTGGGTGTTGAGAAGAAGATTTTTGAAATTTAAGTTAATTTGACCCCTTTTGGCCCCGACCATCAGCCCCTGGGGGCCAGTCAGGATCTTCAGTTCATTAAGAGTATTTGATTCAACCATATCTGGGTTATGAGAAGATTTTTGAAATCTTGGTCAATTTGACCCCTTTTTGCCTGCCCTTCAGGCTCCTTGGGGGTGGGGACTGTATAATTCATAATTTTATTTCATCTTACGCCAGGGAAGGTTTCTGCAAAATTTCATTGAAATTGGATCAGGAGTTTTTTAGAAGAAGTTGAAAGTGTTGAATTGTTTACTGAAGACGCCAGATGATGGGCATTAGAATAGGCCACCACGAGACTTTGTCTCGGCAACCTAAAAATATTGTGGATAGGCAGGTCTCTGCAGAGTAAGTTTCATTTAGCAAAATGATGTTAGTTTCATCATGATTTTATCCTATATAAACTTAAGTTTAATATCTGTGAATCAGAAGAAATTATAGCCTTTTGTTTTCATGTTTTTTTGTTTTTTTTTCCTCGGTGGGAAGAGGGGAGGGGATGATCAAAAGGTGTAGGGTTCGAGAATGTTCCTTTCAGTTTCCAAATAATCATAAATAGCTGTTTTATCATAATTCCAAGTTAAAGAACACTATACAAGAAATATTTAGATTTTCCATAATAGGAACCACATGTTTTCTTTCTTCCTAAATATAAGCAAAACTTCCTACCTAATGCCAAAATATCATCACAACAAACAGAAATACAGTTGTACAAGTCATCCTATCATTTTGAATTGCACAACAGAAAGATTGTTAATGTTCTAAATGAAATTAATAACAAACAAATTAATCATAGCATAAATCTCTTATTTCAATCTTTAAAACATATATAAACAAGTGATACTTTGTTTCTACATAACAAAAAAAAATATCTAGACCACAAACAAATAGGTTGAGGATACAAAAACAGGTGTTGGAGACCATTTTTGTAGCTATGCATACAATATTGGATTTAAAGGGAAGTGACTGTTTGTTAGGTATATTTTGAAAAAAAATTTCAGCAGTGTTGAAACAAATACTGGTGTTAATACATACAAATACATATAAGGTTTTTATGAATTATTTCTAAACAATCTGATAAAGAGAATATGTGCTATAAGTTTCAGTCAGAATTAATTGGCATACCTCTGTTTATATGCAAGCCAGTGCAGTTTACAGTAATTTCAACACCTATCAAAATGTTATACATCAGATAATCTGTACAAAGAAAAAGAATTCTTGGCTACTAAGCCATTTTTATCAAATTTTGAATACAGAATCCACATTTTCTTAATACTGCTCACAAAACACCCAAAGTTTCATCATTTTCCTGTTCTAAAAAGTGACACCTAATTGAAGCCAAATTAAAATACTGGTAAGGAATTTAAAAAAAAAAAAAAAAAATCTTCTGACAATCTTGATTTGAATATCATCATCAATGGTTGTGATATCTTCTGTAAAATTACTGTTGAATAAGGCAAGAACTGATTCTATACAAAACAGATGATGAAAACAAGCAGAAAGAAAGTAAATGCAAACCTTTTTAAAACCCCTTTGGTTTATAGCTTTTTCACACAGATTCACACCCTCTACCTTAAAACCCTCTCAATAATTTTCAACACATACATATCCATTTGCAGCTGTTTGTTTACCAAAAACATTCAGAAATAAACATAAATTATGATGAAGTTGAGAAAGTTACATACCAAAGCAACTTCTATGTGTTACTGCTGAAAATAGTGTTACTTCAGGTAAAACTCTGACACAGTATTACCTTTCATGATTATGCAAGAATTAATCTTTTTGTATTTTAGAGTGTTCAAATGTATCTGTAAATATTTTACTAACTATAATTGTTCCAACTTGAAGTACAATTTCTTTAATTGCTATCTTTCTAAAAACTTCAGGTAAAACTCTGACACAGTATTACCTTTCATGATTATGCAAGAATTAATCTTTTTGTATTTTAGAGTGTTCAAATGTATCTGTAAATATTTTACTAACTATAATTGTTCCAACTTGAAGTACAATTTCTTTAATTGCTATCTTTCTAAAAAAGACGGTTCATGCAGAATTTGAATAAATACTGTAACTTTGATTTACTTACTATAGACATATATTTAGCTTTGAAAATCAACCAGGTAACCATTTACAGTTTTTACGATGAAAACACTTTAAATTCCTTCACATAGCACTTCAAATTTCTTAATATGAGATAATCAGTAATTTGTAGAAGATGCAGGAAGCATATGACTAAATCCACAAAGCATACTCTGTTATGAAGCAGACTACATAACAGTGATTCTAACAAAAACCAATTGCATGCTGTTCAGACTTCCACAATCTATACAAACATGGACCATTACCCAGTGTTACAAACACATTCTGTTTAGTTCTATGTATGCTGCTAAACAATTATATGTATATTTAGATCCACAGCAAAAAGTCTTCATACATTTCACTTGACAATTCCACATAATTTTGTTTCTATATTAATAATTTCCTAAATACAGCAAAATCCATCTCTTTTGTGATAATTCTTTTTAAATACTGTTGCTAAGAAATGTGATCCATGTACCATGTATACTTCATGCATTTCTCTTTCCAATGTTAATTAGTATGTTAATGGTTATTCCAAAAACAGACACATAACCAAGCCAGAGGATCCTGTCTTAAACTTACTGACAAAATTGGAACAGATTTTGCTTGATAAATTATCTATATTATCTAACAGTCTCCATCAATGACAAAAGTGAATTTGATTCTGGTGCAATGTGTTTCCATATTGAGATGAAAATCATATTGTGAACAGTTTTAACATCAAATTAGACAAGTGCATTATAAGAATTTATGGGCTATTCTAGTATAACAGGTACCTAACCCCAGGATTCTAAAAAAAATCACTTCTGTTCCCTGCCTTCAGTTCTCTAATTGATTACTATAAGTGGTTTCCCACCCCCTGCCCCCTCAAAAAAAAACATCTGTAATCCTGGGATAGGATACATGTTTTACTGAAATATCTCCCAAGTGGAAAATTCCAAAGCTTTATATATTCTTTCAAGAAAGTGCATGTAAAGTTCTGTATAACGACATCAAGTTTTTCTGCTGTCTTTTTTCTTCTTGTCTCGAAAACAATTTAAAAAAACATTTCTATAGCAATTCTTGATGCTTGTGTGGGATCAATTGAGAGGTCTGGTAAAAAGCTTTTTTCCCCTCAGTACAAAGTTAAGATATATTAATGGAGTTACTCTATCATAAATATTTTAATTGTGAACATAAAAAAAAAAGAATATACACAATGATATGTCAAACCATAGTGTATGTGTATACAAAAAGGATAAATAAAAAACAGGATTTATTACTGAAAATAAAATTTGATTTGGATGCAGAATATAATGATTATCATGAACAAATAAAAAATATTTCTTAAATATCCGATTTCTGTACTTGTTTAGGAAAACATCTTCCTTGCATTAAACACGCAAAAAAAATAAATAAAAACAGAAATTACCTTTCATCCTCAACTAGATAAAATGTTTTTCATCAGAATATTTCTCCGTCTTTATCCAGCTGCGACAGAATCCAGAAAAATGCTGTATTCTGTCTATAGATTGCAGATTGAACGAAATCACACCAGGTTTCATTCTTAATTCATTCTATAATCCATCAACACTCGTCACTACCGATCAAAACTTAAACCAGACTTTCAGAATTCATATAAGCATATATTTTAATGTACACATATTCCACATACGCATTCATGTACAGATGAAAATACTCATTGGCGCGAGCATACAAAATACAAGGTTATCACGAAAACGGGATCCATTTACCAAATTATAACAATGTTTCTGATGATCTGATCAAGTGTGTATCCCAACATGGCTTCCACATGGATCTTATTGTACCAAGTTTGTATGGACATTGATTTCTCTTTTGGGTCCAGTATCCCTCCCCTTCAGTCTCAATCCATGCTTTACAGAATGCCATCATAGTTGGGTTTGGAATTTAGAAGAAATCATGATACTCCCACAGTTCCTTTTCATAGCCTTCGTGTACGTGATCCAAGAGTACATTTCGTCTGCTTTCACAGTATCTGAAGGAAAAAGTAGAATGTTAATGTAAGATTATTTAGATTGGAACCACATTTCATCTGCTTTCACAAAAGTATAACATTAGAATCACTGATCAATTAAGTTGGTTCAAGCAATGTAAAACCAATGGTTTGTCTTCTTTCAAATGCATTACTTTGAGAGTCAAACCATCAGGTTTTTCATAGCACTTAAGACAAGATTCTTTCTGCCAATTCCATAAAGAATTGTGCAGGTATATGTCAACTAAACAGAAAATAGAGCTAAATAAACTCTAAAAGGACCCATCTGAAAACTGGTAACAAAATTAATAGGTTTGCCAAGGCTCATGAAGATATTAATGAATTTGTCAGAAAATGTGTCAAATCTAGGCTTGTCAGGAAGGAAACTGCAGAAAATTATAAGTCATTAAACTCAATACCTGTTGAGACTTTCCAGAGTCACTAGCAATATTGTTTCTAAAGTCACTAATTCTGTCGAGATTTTCCATATAATTCTGAAGTCACTCATACAATCAAGGCTTTTCATAAATATCCATAGTCAATAGTTCTGTTAAGATTTGTCAGTCACCATCTGTCAAGACTTGCCAGTCACTAGTTCTGTCAAGGCTTGCCAGTCGCTAGTTCTGTCAAGGCTTGCCAGTCACTAGTTCTGTCAATACTTACAAGAAATTCCAGTCCCAACATCATATTTGTCGAAGTTCTAAATGCTTGTCAAACTCTACACATTTGTAAGATCAAATAACACATTTGTAACATCAAATCAGGTCTTTCTAAGATTAAAAGAAAACAGCTGAGTTGAATACAATCACTTCCAGGTCTTTTTTCATCCCTCTATACACAACAAACAACTTATCAAGGTTATAACCTATGCTGGAGTATAGTGAAAACAGCTGTACACAGATTTAAAACTTTGTCCAACAAAATTTGAACACAGCTCTATCAAATTCATACATTTCCCAAGAATTCCCCACTGAAAATCTGTTGATGAAATTGTCTTCATCAAAAGTGTCATCCATAAGGCCTAGCCGAATTTTGAAAAATAAAATGCGATAACTTTGTTTTATTTTTTTTTTTTCAATGGAACCAATTTAAGGATTTTCTCAAGGTTGGATACATTAATAGAGCACACGTGACACCACTGTGCACTCATTAGAGACAAACCCTAAAACCTTACCTGTATTTATCTTGTACTTTCTGTTTGATGTCGTGCAACATGTCTGAGGTGATATCCCTCTCTAAATACTCGGAGAGTTGTTCTGTAGCATTTTCTAAATCCTTCTGATTATCCTGAAGATAAACAAATGATCCATTTTTTATACACAGCAGAATTAAGTACAAATTACATATAGATAACAATTGTGAATCAACTCTTTTCACAGACACTACTTATTATCTGAAAAAGACATCCTTGAAATGTATTGGTTTATAAGGCCATTATTTACATTTGCATCCTTTTCCTGATTAAAACTTTTGAATGAATTTATAGTAGGAAATATTACCAGCACGATATACCATAATTATAACCATGCTTACAACAAACTTATTTGGATTCTATTTATAGACCACTTGTTTGGATTCTATTTATAGACCACTTGTTTGAATTTGATTTACATACCACTTGTTTGGATTCTATTTATAGACCACCTGTTTGGATTCTATAGATGACAGATGACTTGTTAGGTTTCTTTACAAATGATGCATTACCTCAAATATGATAGACTGGTTGTTCTTCTTTAAGTAGAAGGCGAAGACATAGGTAAACATAAGTGTCTGGCGACACTGACATAGAACATCCACGGCTTTCTTCAGGAACTGCACCTCAATCCACGACATGTGTTGCTGCATCTCTTCCATCTTTAGTTTCACAGAGGTGTACAGCTGAGCGAGAAACAGAACTCAATTAATGACTTCATTCAACCCAGCAAAACATATGACTTAATCTTTTACAGTTTACAGCTTAGAAAAAAAATCCTCTGTGGTGACCACTGGTTTTCCACAGATCAGACCTTTTACCATGTAAAAGTATCTAATATTTCCTTCAACTTTGTAGCCAATGTAGACTATTAAAATTTCCAGTCTGATTTTCAAAATAAAGTAACAGAACACATTTCTGAGGAGGCATCTTCATCCACACATATCGGGGAGCAATTTCAAATTCAAAATATTTTTTTATTTCCATAATGACTTTGGTCTTTCTATACAAATTTAATTTTTAATTATCTATAAACTTCAAACTCTGATTAAAGCTAACTACTTTCTATGCATCAAGGAATCTGTACACTTCTTCTGTCTATTATCAAACTTGTAGTGTCTGCAACCTTTGACTGTTCGATTGAACTCTGTACAGTCAACACTCTACTGCCCATCATCGGAGAGGCCTTACCTTGTTCTCAAACTTGAGACTCTGCATGTGATTCATGTATCGATTGCAATAGAATAGGTATCTCTGGAGTTGACCCCGCGATTTCTGTCAAATATAGATAGTGCATTAGTATCTCTACACAAATGACCCAGTTATTCCAAATCAAATTCTGCAAAATATTTTTATAAACAACCTTGAATAATTAACACTTCATTTTTGTTTCATTAGATTTTTTGAATTGATAATTCATGCAAAGAGAACTTAAGAATTTTTGTTTGTCTACACAAACAAAGCAGTTCGAGATACTGAGATCGAGCAATAAAATCTCACAGAATGAACAATAGTTGGTCTAAATGAGAAAGCTGTTTACAGGTCTCCAGCTTTTTCTGACCTACCTCCTGGTTGTCTCTAGCTTTCTTGGCTTCATCCTCATCATACCTGTTACAGTTATACCTGTAAAACAAAAGACAACCAAAATATTTTCATTTTTACCATACATCATTCAATCTATTGAATTCCAACTGGCAGACATCACCACTACTTTAAAACTTTGTTTCAGTATTCTTCGTGTGATTTTTTTTGTTCAAACTTGTGTTAAGGTTTATCCCTAAATAAAGCATTACAAATGAGATGATCTTATGCCAAGTAAGGATGATAAAGAATGAGATGATGCCTACCTTCACCAATATCAGAAGAGAAATAGTTTATAAAACTAGCAAGCTCTTATCTTTTTGAATTGATAATTAGGCTTGAGAAGTGACCACATTTTTTTATGAAAGCTTTTCTGTAACAAGCTGCAAATGTCTAAATACATACTTTAAAATGAGGATCTGTGAGGTTCCCAGGATACTAGACACCATATGGTACCAGCTGGACACCCAGCAGAAGTCTATCCTACAGATACTTACCAAGAAGATCCATGAGGCTCCCAGGGTCCTAAACACACCCAACAGAAATCTGCCCTACAGTTCTGGTTCTTGCAAACCATGTGGTTACATCCGCCATCCTTTTCTATCGTCACATGACACTTGGGACATTCCTGGAGTAAATAGAATTTCTTTTTACATCCTGGTCTTAAACACATATATTTGTAGTATATCGGTATATCACAATTCATTTTTTATACACTTTTAATAACATATCAAATTATCTGTTAATGGTAAAAATGCTAAGGATAACATAAGACCTCAATATTTCACTGAATTTCAAACAGAACACTGCATTTTCTTCATACCAGCACCTAGGTAAATATATAGTCAGACCGTGGTATTTTTTTTACAAATATTGAGTAAGATGTATTTGATACAAAATTTGTAATAAAAAAAGCTATACCATGGCTGTTTTTTTCCTAAACAAAATATGAACCATTGATAAATCACATTCTTGAAACAAAGTGAAGTCTCAAAATAACCCTATTACAAGTATCCAAACCAAGAAGATCTTTTCCTAGCACACTTTCGTAAATACTTTAAAGTATACCTATATTACAGAAATTACCTTTGTATTGGCTGCTATCCAATTTGATGTTTCGCTATCATCATCACATTTCTTTATCCATTTCCTAAGCCAAACACATCTCACCGGGTCATGCCAGTTTTCACCACAAGCAAAACTGAAATATGACATGAACTTTCAATACATTTGATAAAGATTTTGAAAAGAGGTTGAGTCTGGAAAACCACTCACAATTTATGAAGTTTTATCATATACTGCTTTTAAACATTTCCTATAAACACATCTACTGCATTAGTCACGTAAGTAAATAATTTTCCTCTCAATCCTTGTCATTTCATGTCAATCATTAATCGGTTCAGAAGTTGTGGTAACTTGAATCTGATGCATCCCCCAATACAAGCAGTTGATTGTAATTTTGACTAACGGAAAATACTGATTAAGTGTCAAACTTCAGGATCTAAGGATCAATTTTGTTATCAACGTAAATGATACTACACAGTTGTTCAGTTTCTGACGCCCATTTTTGCGGTTGTGTTGAATTAGGCTAATTCACAAAGATTCATTCTATGAATATCTACCAAATGGTATCCATGGATATGGGCATATAACATACATTTTCTGTGATTTTGATTCACTGTAAAATGTTTCCTGAGTATTGAATTTCGCACTCTCTTTAATGAATGGAATATACAGAAAGCATATCCCTAACAAATGACATGACTATTTAAAAAGTACTTTTCAGTAATCCATATGACAAATTCAAACATGATACACCACGTGCCACAATTTCCTACTTACCAGAATGTGTGGCCACAAGCACAAGTTACTGGTCTACAGTCAAAGTACCCAACCTTGACAGCATGGCCACAGTCTGGGGCAGGGCACCATCTTAGTAGTCTATTACACTGTCAATCAAATCAAAGCAAACATATATGACTGGGATCTGCTGCCAAGACAAAGCCCTATAATATGTATTGTCAAAATCTTTTGCAAAACTCTACGAAAAGTTAACATTGTCATTTTTTCACCCTATTTTCCATATCTCATGGTTGCAATCTTCTCAAAATAAATGACAAGAAATTGAAACTTGAGATACCTTATTTGACCTCATAATTGCACTTGCCCCTTTCAGCTCATCCCCACATTTTTTGCATGGAAACAGGATGGGTACACTAATTAAAACTTAAACCACATGATCTGTTAATTCAAGTTCAGTCTCTATGTTAATGAAAAAATAAAACAATTTCTTCCACTCAGATATCTAATGGAACCTTTTCCCTGTACAAGTTTCTACTTAGCCCATCTCTTCTGTATTTTGGTAAGTGGACAGTGCCCTTATAAGGTCGAATATGGTAATTAAATGGCACCATAAACAATTAATCAGAAAATAGAAATGATTCTTCATCACAAACTCATGGTCAATTATTTCTTTTGTAGTCTTCGGCTCTTTATCGTAAACTTACTTCTACAAAACTGTTAGTTATAAGATGCTGGTACTTCAATTTCACTTTTCTATCCTTGACTAGTTTCCTGAAAGAGAAACCAATAAAACATTTAAACTACTAAGAATAAAGTACATTCATCTTTTATTGTTTCAACTCTTACTGATGCCATGAAATAAAACTGTCATATATTTCTTGTTGTTGTCAAACTTAAATTTGTTCTGACGTTTTAATAATGAAGAAAACAGAAAAAAAACTTTTCATTTATTTCTAACACTATATATCTAGCTATTGAAAGTACAATTTGCAGCTCATGGACTTGTAATGGAAATATTTCATTGTCACTACCACATTATTGTAGAACAAATAGTGACAAACATGAATACGTTTTAGAACATTATGGAAAGATTGCTCAGAAAGTTCAATGTAAATGTACTAAAATATTACATCTAGTCATTTTTTAAATTTTTTTTTAAATTATTCATCTGAATCATCAGTAAAAAAAACACTTTACAAACATTTTGATTTCATTTTGGTTTTGTTTGATTGTTTTCTTTTAATCCTTTGAAATACATACTTGAAATCTATGCAATTTGTGCCCCTCCCTGCCCTTTCTTTTACTGGGAGATTATTTGTTTATGACATCATAACTTACATGACAGTGGCATCATCTACATAAATATCACAACCATAAGCAGCACAGGATATAGTTTGGCCTTGACCCTCGTCTATAATCTTTGATGTGAGGTAGTCTGTCCAACATGGTACACAGAACTTATGGCCACACTCCAAGCCTGTCATTTCCTATAACAAAGTAGTATATACATACACTGTGTTCAAATGTCTCCTACAGTATTTTCACATGTAATTATATGAATTAATCATTTTTTAACTGCTTATATTTGCTGTTATAGACTAAATTATGTTGACAATTAAGAGACTATTTAAAAAAGAGTTCAGCCAAAAATAAATTATTGTAAATATAAACATCAGGATTTCTATCAGCTGTAATGATAGGCATATTAGAACTATAATATGACACTCACCGTAATGACTTTACCTAAACAACAGATCTCGCAAGTAACTTCCTGGCTAGCTGCCGCAGATGCTGACCGTGTCATCTTCTTTGTCAAAAGTAAACAAGAAAATAGTTTGTAAACGACTTCAGCTTTTTTGTAATTAAACTCAATCAGATTTATGAAATATTATAAACATCTATATCCTACATTGCCATATAACAAAAAAATAAAGTCTGTACATTCCAACATTCTTTTTGAGTTGCTAATACTAAATACTTAATAACAAGAGGCCCTCAGCGCATGTTATGTTCATATCATCAGGATTATGCCAGCATTCATAATGAAACATTTTTGTAGAAATTTGTTGTTACATCAATATTTTAAACATTTCCCAAATTTGACTCACTATCCCGAGTGAAAGCATCCTTGTTTATAACATCTGGTTTCCTGATTCCAAAATAAAACTTTGAAAATTCAGTCAATAGAAAACTTCAACCTTAAAGTTTTATATCCAATCATGGTTTCCTCATGTTTGCTCCATTCATCCACCTTCAAGATGGACAAAGACTTTCACTTACAAAATATTGAGGCCACTTTACCCTAAATGCTTCAAGACCAGTAATTTGCCTACTAGATTTTAACATTTAGAAATTATCCCCAATTGGACCCCATATCTTCGCTGCTCAGGAGGGAGGGTGTGTGTGTTCAGTTCAGTGGGGAATATTCATCCAGAAAAAAATGGACGCTGTGCCAAGGAATAAGTTTCAGACAAAACATTGTGCAAATCCACAAGTACATGCAGAATGTCTAAACCAGTGAGATAATTTAATGAAAATGTGGATGGATCTTGCACCACAACATAGGTCCTCTTCTTAAATCACACAAATTTCTTTGAATGTTAAGTTCCACATGTAAAGAAGTTGGATTTACAAATATGTGTTTCAAATTTTTTTACACTTCATTAGTAGGTGAATAAATTATAGACATTCTTTCCGTAGGCTGAAATATTACCTTGGCAGGTCTGCCTGATGAATCTTTTCTATGTGGACTGACAACATGGGCCTCTGAGAAGAGTCTCTCCTGGTCTCCATCATAATACCTATAAATTAAATAAATTGACTTTCAAGTTAATTAATGCAATATAATGGTCCTCATGCTTCAATGTATCATTGATTTAATGTTGATGAAGAGAATAAAAAGAGAAACTAAATGATGTAATCATTGATCTGCTTAAATAAGAATCAAAAGAAAATATATCGCCTTTATGAACACTAATTTGGAAAAAGCTGAACACAGATACAGTGATTTCTGTACGATTTTCAAAGCAAGTCCAGAACACTTAATTCAAAAATTCTGACAAGCACCACAGGCAGAGCATGAGTTGAGGACTTCTAAATATCAGAGCCCCAAAAATCACTGCATATGTGATTTCAAATATGTATTACACTGATACAAATAAACTGAACTCAATACATTAAGGACAAAAAACAAATGTCACTTCAATTTTATATGGAATACTGACTTAATAAATCATTTTCAAATTGAGCTCCCTACCTTTCCATTAACTTCTCTTTGTCCCATTTGAAATGATTAAGCAAAATCCTTGTGATTGTTGAAGGGATCTAAAAGAAAAGGAGAAAGTGCATCCTTAAGAACTGTTGGGACAGTAAAATGAATTGTGAATGTGAATGATAACTAAGCCATAAAAATTCACTTTATCAGAGACATTAGACACAAAGACATAAACGAAAGTCCATATCCAAGATTTTGAAAATATAACTGTTATAGTTCCTGCTAGCAAGAGCTTTTAACACATTTATGGTACTTGGTGTGGAAAATCAGGCATTTTTATCAGTTTGGCTTTGCCTCTGAAAATTTATATTACAGTCAAGAGCCCCTTACATTATGTAACAGAATTAATTGACTAGGCATAAATGTACAATCAATAAATGTTTATGGAGACCTAATGTTTAGATGTTTCCTATGTCAAAAAGCATATACATTTATAATTTGAATACCCTCATATTGTAACTGAGGTTATTATGTATTTCAATTCTTCCACTAGCAGTGTTGTGGCCAGTATTTAACCAGTGTTACATACTCTCTCTTCAGGAAATATATTGGTCCTCAAGTTTCCAGAAGGGTTACAGCAATGCTTACGAAAGTAACACTAGGTATTATATCTGAGTCCTTGCATGCAATATAACAGAAGTCATTATTTATTTCATTGCCTCCGCTGGGTTTTGAACCCAGGACCTCTGGCTTACTAGTCTGAACCTCCACAGACAAAGCTAAAGAGGAGTTCTCTCAAGCCAAGTGGTACATCGTGACTAGCATTTTACCAGGGTTAAAATATTACAAGGCGTAACAGTATATGTATCATTAATTGACAGTACAAACACCCAGCTACTCTTGAAATTGCCTTGCATCAACCTTAAATACTTGGTCTAATATTTACAGTCATCTGATATTTATCTTGAAGTCAAAATTATGTGGATCCAGTCTTAAAGACAAAGCCACTATGAACAAGTAACAGGTCATTATTTATTTCAATACCTTTGTTAGGATTCGAACCCAAAACCCAAGGATTACCAGTCTGACACTCAACCAATCAAGATAAACAGAAGTTCTTTCTAGTCAAGCAATATATTGCAGCTAGTATTTACCAGGGTTACATACCCCACCCCCTTCTTGGAAATCACTCATCCTTGAGTGCCCATTGGTTACAGCGGTACTTGTGAATATAACGCTTAGTATTATTCCTGGATCCCTACATGGGAGCCAATGTAACAGAGGTCATTATTTATTTCAATGCCTTCACAATGATTCAAACCTGGAACCCCTGGCTTACTAGTCTGACACTCAACCAATCAAGTAAAAAATAGGTTCTCTCTAGCCAAGAAGTATATTGTGGCTAGTATTTACCAGGGTTACATACAGTAAGATCAAACAGTAGCCCAGTTTCTTTACCATGGATTCTGTGTTATTTATAAACCTGCTCCTGCAATTATAATAAATAGATGTATTGCATGTACTCATTATCCTTAATTCAAAAATTAAGATGCAGTACCCAATTTAAAAATGGTTTACTTAAATATTGTCTGTATGATTGGGTGGCTTCCTATTTCCTGTATTTTGATAATCATAATAACTGAAAGTTAAATTACTGCCAGGAATAAAAGTAAACAAACTTCAGCAGCCTAATCCACAATATCAGCAGTTGGGTGTGGAAGCTAAATTTAGAATATGATGCATTACTTTTCCTAATTTGTCAAATAAGGTCGTTTATAAAAATACAATTTTTTAAACTGAAGTAACATAGAAATAACTAAGAATCATATAGAACGCAATTCAACACAAATAGCAATTAGTTCACAACTATTTACCTTTCAAACAGTAAACAACTTGGAGGACAAAACGGAGACAAATTATTGATATTTTGTTCTGGCAAAAAAGAAATACGAGTCTGCTGAGTTTAAATAGTTGTCGACGGAATCTAAAAATACCCTGTAAAACCAACCTGGACAACTGCATTTACGTCTTTAATGCAATCAACCATGAACTGGACAATTTGATCCGCTGTGAAAATTTCGTATGGGAATTCTTCTGCTTCATGTTTCTCTTGTGTCGTCGATGGTTCCGTTTCGAGACCCATATCCACGAAATTATCATCGCCATCGCTTTCTTCTTCTTCTGACATATCGTCGTCATATTCGAAATCATCATCTAGATCCATAGTTGCAATTTTCAACTTTAAACCAACAATATAAAAGCTATTTTCATTCTATTTGGGTGGTTTGCAACTAATCAGACAGACTGCCTTTCTGGTCGTATTTACATCTGTGACGTCACCTTCGGAAATGAAGTGACCCCCAAGGCAACGATGAAATATACTTTCCGTTACATGCGTTGCTTGATCTGCAATTTCACAAAGCATTTGAAATCTAAATGACCTGTTCGCGCTTTATAAGATGACAATATTTTGCTATAAATAGATAAATTACTCTTCTAAGGAGGATTTACGAAGATGATGTCATCTTCGTAGTTTGTTGTCTCCAAATTAGAGCATTATGGGATACCTGATTGTGATTACACCTCCAGGTAAAGGAGAGTTCGTTGTTTTGGCCCGGATTCCCTCCCTTGAAGTATCGTGTTCCATTCTTGCACAGAAATCTAGACCCGAGTTTTTTTTTTTATTGTCTTTTATTCTCGTGTTTTCTAGGTAGTATTATGATTTTTTTTCAAAAGAACTTATGATGCAATATACGACTGTTGATGTTGAAACCATGCAATCAATTCGAGCAAAATAAAGCAGTAAATACACACATGAAGTTTTTTCTCAATGAGGAGAGAGAGATCTGCATTTAATAAATGCAGAGATTTGTGATTTCGATTTGTTTTAAATCTTATATTAAAGATTACAGCCAGAGAGACTTGGGTTGATAAAAACTTAACAGACTATAAATGAAAACCGTTTGTCAGATTAGAATGAAACACTATTTGAATATTGATGACCATTAATTAAGCACGAGAAGAGCTACCGTGTTGATTACATATCATAGTCTTGTCAATTTTGTTTATTTTCTTAAATAAAAACCAACTCCGTAGAAGTTTTTCCGAGAGTGACAGTAAACTTGAAGTAATCTCGTATTTCAAAAGGTTGTACTTTATACCAAGAAGTGTAAATTTCCCTTCATGATTTACTAACTTGTAATCTCTTTTTTCTACCACGTTCATGTTTAACTCTTAGCCAGATATTCTGTGTGTTATCTCAACTTGCTCCCAATTCAGATTAATCTCTCAATCTATCCAGGATTTATAAGTAGCGTTTCAAGATTTCTTTTTAATTTTTAGTGTTCTTTTGTTTTTGTTTTTTTTTTACATTTTGGTATATTTATGAGTTCAGCAATCTTCGAGTAACGAAGATTTCACCAATTCTATGCGCATAATTAAGAGTAAACCAAACATACTTTCAGACATGTCAGACAAATAATATGTAGACTCTTCGTTAGTTCTCTCAATACCAGGATATTTGAAATTACGCATTATCTTTAAAACATGTAAACATTCGTCAATTGATATAAATCCTTCTACTGCCGCACCATCATCAAGATTTTACTGATCTAAAATGAATTGTGTAAATTTGAAAATGTATTGATCTAATTTTGTTGAGGTGATGGATCTCTACATACTTTAGCATACAGTGTTTTATTAGAATAAACTAACATTCTGTTAGAACGAGTACATTGTATATGTGTTTACATCTCTTGAAATTTGCTTAGAGTTAACGAGCTGAAATTGAACAGCTCAGTAATGTTAGAAAACGGAAGCGAATGGCTATATGGTGTGAGAGATGAACTTTTGAGATTGGGTGTGGGGTACAAATGGCAATATATAAAGATACTTTTACACCTGATGATATCATAAACATAATTAAAACTAGATTGTCCGATATCTTTAAACGAGAGTGTAGTGAAAGATAAATTCATCTCCCAAATGTTCCCCAATATATGATAAATATATCGGTGAGTCCTTTTGGTTTCAAAATTATCTTTCAAAATCTATAGGCAATTCTACTGTAAAGGAAACAGTAAATACATCAAAAGGTCATCTCACAAATTGAATATTGAAATTGGGAAATATAATAATATAGACATGAATGATAGAATCTGCACTTAATGCAATAGCAGTGACATAGAAGATGAATTTCATTTCTATTTTATTTATTTCATTTTATAAAAGATGTACATATATTTAAGGAAACGCTTCTTTAAGAAACATTATCGTCATAGGTCCAGTATGTTTAAATTTATCCAGCTTATGATATCGGTAAACATGAAATAATTATCAATTTTATAAAAATTTATCATAATGAGTATCAAGAAAAAATATTGAATTGTACATGGTAAATATGTTGAATTTCATCTACACTATGCTGATTAATGGTGTGTGTTGGAGGAGAAAGTGTATGAACCATTGTTATTCAAAATATGTTTTACGTCATTCTGAATTAATGAGCTGCAATCGGATCTAAGGTAATATTGAATAGAATTAAATTGGATTGAAAGGGATTTCAGCACCTGCTGAAACTGACGTGTTTTCCAGTGAACATGTTGAGCAGATATTGAAGAGTTCACCGGATCGATTCGTTACCTGTAGTTCGTCTCATTTCTTTTATGTTTCGCTTTTATATATATGTATCCTTATGTATATACAACTTGCATAAACATCTATGACTTTTCGCATAAGTATTAGTATCATCAATATTACCCTTTTCATAGACTTACACAATATTTCCAATTGACCAGCTTATGGAAAATACCTAGAATTAAAAGACTTTATTAAAATGTATACGTACTCACGGAAATAAAACCTCCTTATAATCGATTAAGTATGCATTTAATATGTTACCCGTGCCTTACTAGAATTGAGATTATTAGTAGCTGAAATAACGTCATTATTACTTATATAAGTAAATCAATTTCACCGTAGCATCCTGTATAACATAATCACCCTAAACAATATGGAACGTTTTTATTTTGCATTAACATCCACTTTCCCTAATTCAGAAAAAATGATCGAAGAAATCATTTAATGAGATATTACACTTTAACGTATTTTCTTCCTGTCAAATTGTTTGTGAGATGTTGTTGGGGCTATAGTGAGTGTTTGTAGATAATTGCGAGGTATACTTCAATCAGTTTAGATATGGACTCAATTGGTAGGTTATAAATCCCACGCAAACAAAAAAACAGTGTATGATTAATTTAAGATGTATGATAGTTTCTGATATTGGACGTGGTAGGTACTTCACATAGTTTAGATATTGGACGTGGTAGGTACTTCACATAGTTTAGATATTGGACGTGGTAGGTACATCACACAGTTTAGATATTGGACGTGGTAGGTACTTCACACAGTTTAGATATTGGACGTGGTAGGTACTTCACATAGTTTAGATATAGGACGTGGTAGGTACATCACATAGTTTAGATATAGGACGTGGTAGGTACTTCACATAGTTTAGATATTGGACGTGGTAGGTACTTCACATAGTTTAGATATTGGACGTGGTAGGTACTTCACACAGTTTAGATATTGGACGTGGTAGGTACTTCACACAGTTTAGATATTGGACGTGGTAGGTACTTCACATAGTTTAGATATTGGACGTGGTAGGTACTTCACACAGTTTAGATATTGGACGTGGTAGGTACTTCACACAGTTTCATTGGACGTGGTAGGTACTTCACACAGTTTAGATATTGGACGTGGTGGTAGGTACTTCACACATGGACGTGGTAGTACTTCACACAGTTTAGATATTGGACGTGGTAGGTACTTCACATAGTTTAGATATTGGACGTGGTAGGTACTTCACACAGTTTAGATATTGGACGTGGTAGGTACTTCACACAGTTTAGATATTGGACGTGGTAGGTACTTCACACAGTTTAGATATTGGACGTGGTAGGTACTTCACACATTTTAGATATTGGACGTGGTAGGTACTTCACACAGTTTAGATATTGGACGTGGTAGGTACTTCACATAGTATAGATATTGGACGTGGTAGGTACTTCACATAGTTTAGATATTGGACGTGGTAGGTACTTCACACAGTTTAGATATTGGACGTGGTAGGTACCTCACATAGTTTAGATATTGGACGTGGTAGGTACTTCACATAGTTTAGATATTGGACGTGGTAGGTACTTCACATAGTTTAGATATTGGACGTGGTAGGTACTTCACATAGTTTAGATATTGGACGTGGTAGGTACTTCACATAGTTTAGATATTGGACGTGGTAGGTACTTCACATAGTTTAGATATTGGACGTGGTAGGTACTTCACATAGTTTAGATACTGGACGTGGTAGGTACTTCACACAGTTTAGATATTGGACGTGGTAGGTACTTCACATAGTTTAGATATTGGACGTGGTAGGTACTTCACATAGTTTAGATATTGGACGTGGTAGGTACTTCACATAGTTTAGATATTGGACGTGGTAGGTACTTCACATAGTTTAGATATTGGACGTGGTAGGTACTTCACATAGTTTAGATATTGGACGTGGTAGGTACTTCACATAGTTTAGATATTGGACGTGGTAAGTACTTCACATAGTTTAGATATTGGACGTGGTAGATACTTCACACATTTTAGATATTGGACGTGGTAGGTACCTCACATAGTTTAGATATTGGACGTGGTAGGTACATCACACAGTTTAGATAATGGACGTGGTAGGTACTTCACACAGTTTAGATATTGGACGTGGTAGGTACTTCACACAGTTTAGATATTGGACGTGGTAGGTACTTCACACAGTTTAGATATTGGACGTGGTAGGTACTTCACACAGTTTAGATATTGGACGTGGTAGGTACTTCACACAGTGTAGATATTGGACGTGGTAGGTACTTCACATAGTTTAGATATTGGACGTGGTAGGTACTTCACACAGTTTAGATATTGGACGTGGTAGGTACTTCACATAGTTTAGATATTGGACGTGGTAGGTACTTCACATAGTTTAGATATTGGACGTGGTAGGTACTTCACATAGTTTAGATATTGGACGTGGTAGGTACTTCACATAGTTTAGATATTGGACGTGGTAGGTACTTCACAGAGTTTAGATATTGGACGTGGTAGGTACTTCACATAGTTTAGATATTGGACGTGGTAGGTACTTCACATAGTTTAGATATTGGACGTGGTAGGTACTTCACACAGTGTAGATATTGGACATGGTATGTACTTCACCTAGTTAAGATATTGGACGTGGTAGGTACCTCACATAGTTTAGATATTGGACGTGGTAGGTACTTCACATAGTTTAGATATTGGACGTGGTAGGTACCTCACATAGTTTAGATATTGGACGTGGTAAGTACTTCACATAGTATAGATATTGGACGTGGTAGGTACTTCACATAGTTTAGATATTGGACGTGGTAGGTACTTCACATAGTTTAGATATTGGACGTGGTAGGTACTTCACATAGTTTAGATATAGGACGTGGTAGGTACTTCACACAGTTTCAAGTCAATCATTAAGAAAATTGTCTCGAATTCAATTACGGCCATTTATCACTGAATTAAGGTTTTGAGATATTGGACGTGGTACGTGGTAGGTACTTCACATAGTTTAGATATTGGACGTGGTAGGTACTTCACATAGTTTAGATATTGGACGTGGTAGGTACCTCACATAGTTTAGATATTGGACGTGGTAGGTACTTCACACAGTTGCAGAGATAGATATTGGACTGTGTTATATGGCTGCAAGGTAGTTTTATTTTTCACAGTGGTCCCTTACTATGCCTCAGAGGTTCGTTACAAAAGATATAATATTCATGCACGAGAAAGGTGACATATATACACTTAAATGAGGTTATGGTATATATGCGTCCCACATCGTATTTTATATCATTTGAAACAAACCCTTGTGATTTTATCATATGGTAAAGTCATCTGTCATTGATTAAATAAAGGTCAAAACTAAGCAAGAAAATGTACAACTTTTGAGAATAGTTAAAGATTAGACCTTGTATGATTTATTAGAATTATAATCAGTGTACGTACCCCTGTGGTACTGACCTTACCTCTCAGAGCTTAATTGTACCAGGGACATATAATACGTATTATACGTCCCTGATTGTACCTAAAACTACAAGAAAAAAAACATATATGATTGTCAAATATATTGACATGTTCTTTGCGGTTCATAGGGTAACCATTTGTTATTTAATGCATGTGTATTTTTAACTTGTGTACTGTTTTGGTAGACAGTGTGAAATTTTGGGCTAAAAGAAAGAAACACTACTTTCTTGCTATCTAAGCCCTTAAATTTCCTATATCAGTTATTTAAGTCGGTTTATGAGACAACAATATTATCCTATCAACCTTTCTTTAAAATATTTTTTAATAAATTAATTTCTTTACAGGTAGTGCACCTTGTGCCTTGAAGGACTTCGGTGGGGAAAATTTTGTATGTGTGTGTAACTCCACATACTGTGATATGCAAGATTCCATTACCCCTCCTCCTTCTGGGGTCTATAAGCTCTACACATCATCTCTATATGGACAAAGACTTGATCAGACCTTTGGAAATCTGTCATCAAAACCTTCAGCAAAGGGTACATGACCTTAATGACACAGTGTATATAATATGTTCACTTGAAAAACTGCTTAATAGTTTATACCAATATGTGTATGTATCAAAATTAAACAGGATTAAATTTCTTCTTTTCTAGAAATTAATAACTGCATGTACAGAAGTTGCTTTTTCACTTCAAGGTTTTCTGGAAAACATACTTTCTCAATGATAATCGTAATTTGGATAATATATTGCTGTACTGGTACATGAAATCTTGTTGTTTTTTTTTTTGTTTTTGTTTATTTAAGATCTCAATTACAGTTGAACCTCGTTTTCTCAAACTCCTTTAATTGGAAGACCCTGTTTATTTTGAAGTTTTACATTTTGTCCTGATAAACTTTTCTCCAAACATTCAATCTCACTTAAAATAAATACTTAGATAACTCGGAAGTTTTCAAACGGTCCCTCTGACTTCAAAATAACCAAAGTCGTCTGTATTATTCATTGTGGGAAGACAGTCATTTAAAGATTTTTTTTTTCTTCAGTAGTACTAAAATTGAATAGCAATGTGACCTATCAAAAGATAATAGGATTTGGAGGAGCCTTCACAGATGCTGCTGGGATTAATATTCTCAACTTGACTGCACTCACTCAGGAAAAGCTACTAAAGTCTTATTTCTCTTCTGAAGGTAATTAATTTGCCACTCATTCAGGTAGGTAAGACCTACAAAAATATGCAGCTATAGAATACTCCTTTTTGAGATGGAATTTTGTTAAGGTTTTCAGTTTACCATAATTGGTCCTTACTGTTTGGTCAAAATATTTCCAGACATTTCAAAGTCATTAACGTTAAGTAATCATATTTTAAGATAAACATAAACATTTGGACCATTTTACACAATAATGTTTTAGTCCAATTTTGATCAGCATTTTTATCATGAGGAAAAAGTATTTTAGAGAGTGGACAGATCCTTTATTGATAAAACATGAATGCTTAAATGAAATTTTCATTTAATTTTTTTAAAACTTCTTTCTGTCATTTTTCAATGTGTTTGACATCATGTTAAATATTCCTTGTGATTCACTTCACCAGGTATAGAGTACAATCTGGGACGTATCCCGATGGCTAGCTGTGATTTTTCAACACGACTTTACTCCTACGATGATGAGCCTGGTGACCTCAATTTGACGAAGTTTTCACTTGCAACAGAAGATTTTAAGTATAAAGTAAATCAGACATTCTTTTTCACATGATAAGTGATTGATTATCAACATCATTCAGGTATATATATCTTTTATTTCACCTGAAATCTAAAAGGTTAAGGTCAGATGGACGTATACTATTCCAAAGTCAAAATTTTAATTGATCATATCTGTTGGTCAAGGCGAAATGGCAATAGTAGATTATACTTAATGGCATTTGATGCACCATAGGTCAAGGTCATTTGACTCCAGAAGATTACTTCATGTAATGGTTGAAGGTCAAATTCAGTTGTTTGCCATTCATTCATAAGTTTTATGCTATTAAATTCTGAATCTATGATGAGAACTTTTTTCATGGTTATTAGTTAAAGAATTTTGCAAGAAAATCTATTAACAGTATATGTTTTCAGTGTCTAGTAGTGTTCTTTTACTTTTGAGACTGATCTCAAAAATTGCTGACCGATGGCAATCTGGTTACTGTTTCTTGTTTCTGAATAAGAAATGAATAGATTTTTCTCATTTTTCATGTGCTAGTTCCCTTGGTCGCTAATAGTGCCCTATTAATTCTGAGACAGATCAGACATGATGGCTGATAAGTACCATGTTAGATTTTGACAGTTAAAGTTTGTTATTGATTCTTAAGATGTAGATAATGGATCTTTCTTTCATGTCATATCTAGGTTTCCATGATCCTGTGTATTATTGTATTGTCAATTTTGGGATTGAGAAAAAATGGCATATGCTTGGATAGCTTTGATTTTGCTGGTGATTGTTTGTTTTCGCTATTTTTGGGGAAATATTTGTTGAATCATTCTCAAAATTTATTTGTAGGTTCCGTCTATTTCAAGACTGGTAAAAAAAAAAAAAATGACTGAAAGGCCACCATCTTGGATTTGCCAGTTAAAGATTATCACTCGTTTCATATACATTATAATTAAAAGCAAATAAAATGAAAGAAAAGGATGGAAAGATTCCAATTTAAAAAATAAATATCATAACATGGGATGATATAAAGGTTCCTCATGGATCTATTGTTTAAAAAAAATTATCCTGTGACATTAGAATGATATCAAAGACACATTAATGCTATATGCTTTAAAATGCACATATTGTGATTATACGACAACTAATAATGTCATTGTGTATGCATGTTTTTATACCATACAAACATGTATGTTTACATTACGTTATAAAATTGATTGTAAATATATGAGTGATTTAGCAGAAATATCCTGATTTTATTCTGAAATATCTGCTTTGCAGATCCCAATAATTCTTGCTGCCCAACGGTTATGTAAAAAGAACATTACTTTATTTGGAAGTCCGTGGAGTGCACCTGCCTGGATGAAGACCAATAACAAAATGACTGGCAGAGGTACACTGATTGGCAAACCAGGTGGACAGTACTATAAAGCATGGGCTACATATTTCGTCAAGTAGGTTGACTTTACCGAGTGTGTTTAACAGTAAGATAGTTTTATACTGCTAGAGGGAAAGTGTCAAAATATATATGTCAAATGTTATTGAAAGCTACATACATACCACATATATAATAAACTATGAATATCATATTTTAACATGTGAATGAAATGAGATCATGGGTTTCTGTAATCTACAATATGGAAAAAAATCAGTTGAAATTTAGAGAAAATGTTGGAAGATGATTGATATTCATTTGAACGTCAAGGTGATGGATGAAAAGTTCTTTTAAGACTACTTTATAGGATGTTAGACTTGAGTTAAGTCTTAGCTTTTTTCTCTGTCAATATTCTTTACACTTCCTTCTTCCTTTGATCACAGCAATGTTATTATCAAATGCGTTCCTTCCCTCCGTCCAGATGCTGCTTTCCGCATCTCTTTTGAAAGACTGGTAGGATTTTGTTACCTGGTTGGTATACTTGTTATCTTAATCCCTTGCCCAAGTTTGATTAATGGCAAATTCCAGGCATATTACATGATGCTGCTTTGGCCTGATCAGCTGGTTTCTTTAATATCTTTCTGCGCATTTTCTTATGAAGAAATGATAAGATATTTAGGAAACTTGCTTCATAGACTTAATACCTTAATTCCTTGTTCAGGTTTGATTACCCGGTATTGGCAAATTCTATGCATATTTCATGAGACTGCTGTGACCTGATTGACTGATATCTTTCGGCACTCTAAGTGAATGCTTTCCACATGTTATCTTTTAAGGGATCAAATGAATTATGATGAGACTGGCTTGGTAGACTTGATACCTTAACCCTTCGTTCATGTTTGATTATGGGCAAATTACACACATATTTAATGAGGTTATTGTGGCCTGATTGACTGATATCTTTGCCAGTTTTTCATGCTCACTTTAAATGTATATATTTTACAAGTGAACATGAGCGAGGGACCTTGATGACTATGTCCTTGTATTTTATTAGCCCACCATCATCAGATCATCATTGCTCTGCATCTGTCCTCCATCCATCTGCCGTCTGTCTGTCCATAAACAAATTTTGTTATCGCTATTTCTTGAGAAGTACGGGATGGATCTTTCTCAAATTGCATATGTAGGTTCCCCTTAGTCCCTAGTTGTGCCTGTTTGATTTTGGGAGTGGTAAGAAAAACAAAATGGTCAACAGGCAGCCATCTTGGATTTTTACAATGAAGTTTGTAATTGCTATTTCTTTAAGAGATGGATTTCTCTCAAATTTCATGTATTTAACTACTGTAACGATTTCTCTCAAATTTCACTTATATCTACATAAATACTTTAAAGATCTTTCTCAAATTTCATATATAGGTTCCTTTAGGTCCCTTGGAGTTTGGAAATGACCTTAAAAAAAAATGATCAACAGGTAGCCATCTTGGATTTTGCCTAGAAAAGATTGTTATCGCTATTTCTCAAGAGGTACTGAACGTGTGTCTCTCACTATTTATATGTATGTTCCCTTTGGACTCTCCTTGTGTTCGTTTGATTTTGGGACTGATCAGAGGAAACAAAATGGCTTCCAGTCCAGTTGATTTGGCAGGTAAAAATTATCATTGCTATTTTTGCAAAGGAATATTCAAATGTCTTATCATTAAGAGTGAAAATAGAGAAGAGAAAGACGGGAAAGGTCCAAGTTTCAAAGAGCATATAAAAATCAAACAATAGTGGACACCAAGATCCCTCTGGGATCTCTTGTTTGCATTGGTATCAACCAATGATTGAAGAACATAATACATATTGAGCTTCATGTTTCTATGTTTTAAGGTTTCTGCAGGAGTATAAGAAGCATGGAGTGGACATTTGGGGTGTAACAGGACAGAATGAACCATCAGATGGTAACATCTTTAATTTCAAGTTCCAGGCCATGGGTTGGTCTCCTGAAACACAGAGAGATTTCATAGCAATGGATCTCGGCCCTGCAATGGTTCAGTCTGGGTTTGATCATGTGAAAATCATGATTATGGATGATACCAGACTGTTTTTGCCTATATGGGCAGAAGAGGTTGGTGCTCTTGTCTATAATATACCTTTTCACTATGGATCTCAGAAGCAAGGATTATATTGAGAAGGAAACTCTATCTGAGAACCTTCTCTACCATACATATCCTAAAGGAACTTTCAATATGTAAAATAGATGTTGTAGATGATTTATGGAGCTCTGAATGCTGTTGATCCATGTTGTATTATGTGAACATAATTAAGAAACAAGTTATATGTGATGTTGGGAAATGTTATAGCATTGACTAGATACTCTAATATTGCATTTAGACAATTTAGACAGATGTCTGTGTCTGATATAAGTGCCAAAAGGGGATTGGGATGGAGTGGGACTATAGTTTTGTTTTGTGTCTGTTCATCCTGGTTTTGGCCCTATCTCCTACATTTTTAACTTTAATCTCTGACAAAGGAAAAGTTTAATCTTGATTTTTTTTTCACTTTTCAGAGGAGTACATCCTTAAGAATTCTTTCTTGTACTCTGAAAAGTTTATTTACATGGGAATATCCAGACATGGGTATGCAAATACTATCATAGTGTATCCGGATTTGGACAGTTAAAGCATGAAGGTGATATAGACATTTGTATGGAAAAGAAGTACTGGAATTCGGATTCACAACCATTACTCTCTTTTGTATAATTTAGGAATGATTGCCCTTTGTTACTTTCCATATTTAAAATTTGTCTGGAGCATTACACTAAAAGTTGAGAGGTACCAACATGAAACTTCATAGGTACATAGATCTCGACCAGAAGGAGGGCAGTGCATATGTAAGAATCATAACTATCTTATTGACCTTTGTCCCATTCGGGGAGAGTAACCCGTCTCTGACAGCCTTTGTTTAACAAAAGCCTGTCTATTTTCTACTCAAGTGACATTTATAGACATTTTGACATGAACTTTATCAAATTATTAATATGATGATATTTTAGAATCACATAATACAACTGTGTTTATATCAATGATGCTTTCTTTATTGAAAATTTTGTTCGGTTTTAGATATATGATCATTGTAGGACTATGAAAATATGCCTTTTTGTATTGTATGGTGTATGGTCGTGCAAAGATGTGGTCAACTGTGTAATTGAAATCATATAAAAAGATGTTTTAATAGTATATAATGCTGAAATGTGTGTGTCAAAAAATAACATTATGCACTCAATCATTATAAAGTTGAAATATTGAGCATACACATGTATTGTAAAAGAGTGGTAATAAATTGAATGGAGATCTCGCAATATTGATAATAAGGTAAAAATCATACTCACAGGTGTTCAAGAATACAGAAGCAGCCAACTTTGTCTCAGGAATAGCAGTGCATTGGTACCAAGACTTCATTGTACCAGCAAATGTCTTGACATCTACTCACGAAAAATTCCCAGATAAATTCATCCTGTCTACAGAGGCATGTCTTGGATCTATGCCTTGGGATGGTCAACATGTCCAGCTTGGAAGTTGGTACCGAGGGGAAACCTATGCACATGACATCATAGAGGTGAGAGGCCATTTGGTCATGCTATAAATTTGTAGTTATATTTTTTGTGTTACCATGGAAACACAGTCAAAAAAAACAAAAAAAGTGTTTACTTTCGTTTCTGGTCAACAACTTTGAAACCATTCCACCAACTCCACAAAACTTTCTGTACATATTAGGTTAGTGCCCTAGGTTTTTATTTCACATTGAAGTTGAAAAACTTGCATGATTGATTTCTCACTAGTTCTGAACACATCCAACATCCAGTATTTTAGAGTAATACTTTTTTCTGGAGCCTACATTTGCTAACTGAATCATGATCTAGTATTCTGTTATAACAGTAATGGCCCTTTATTAATTTTTTTGGAAACCAACATTTACTATTACAGTTTATAGTGAGCTGAGCTCTCTTTTCGTTTCATTCATGAACATTTATGAATGAAAGTGATTTAGAATTACTGTAGGAATAGCTTAAACATTCTGTAATAAATACATGTACAGCCTTTTTCCACGTTATTTTTTATCACTGCTTCCTTATAATCTTTCTACTTTCATTTTAGGATTTGAATCATTGGGTAACAGGATGGACAGACTGGAACATTGCCTTAAACATGGAAGGAGGTCCAAACTGGGTCAGCAATTTTGTAGACAGCCCAATTATTGTCAATGCTGAAAAAGATGAATTCTATAAACAGCCCATGTTCTATACAATGGGCCACTTCAGGTACTGAAACTAAATGTGTGACCTTAAAATCACTGAATAGCAGGCCTCTGGTCGAGATCTGATATCAGAATTAGTTCAAACATGACAAGTATCTATCATTATGCATTGAATTTGCAGAACTTGACAAATGTACTCTATACCTTGATAAGATGTAAAACTTGATGTTATGATGCTATTAGATAGATATGATATGACAGGCTGGGATGCAATGTAACTCTATGGACAAACATGGGTAATACTATATGCCAACCCCTCCCCATCCCCTTCTCCCCTCTCTGCCATCTTCATGAAATGACAGGGACATGAATAGTCTTTCTTAAATGTTTATTTATATTTTAGCCCACCATCCTATATCAGATGGTGAGCTATTCAAATTGTCCTGCATCCGTGGTCTGTCGTTCATCTATCCGTCTGTCCATAAACAATTTTTGTTATCACTATTCTTTAGAAGTACTGGATAGATTTTTCTCAAATTGCATATGGTTGTTCCCCTTTGTCCCTGATTGTGCCCGTTTGAATTCGGGACTGACTAGAAAAACATTTGGCTGAGAGGCAACCAGCTTGGATTTTTTCGATGAAGATTTTATCACTATTTCTTGAAAAAGAACAGGATGGATCCCTCTTAAATTTCATATGTAGATTCCCCTTGGTCTCTGGTTGTACCATGTGTTTTTAAGACAGACCAGAAAAGCAAAATGGCTGGAAGGTGGTCATCCTGGATTTTGATTTTGAAAGTTTGTAATCACTATTTCTTCAGAAGTACTGTATATATCGTTTTCAAATTTCACGTATAGGTTTCTTTTGGCCCCTAGCTGTGCCTGTTTTAGTTTGGGACTGATCAGGAAAACAAAATGGCTGACTGACAACTATCTTGGATTTCGCGTAGTAAAGATTGTTATTGCTCTTTCTTCATGTATGTTCTTTTGGTCTCTCCTTTTGCCTGTTCGATTTTGGGATTGATCATCAGAAGGAAAAAGGCTTCCAGGCAGCCATATTGGATTTGGCTGGTAAAGATTATCATCACTATTTCAGTGAAGGCATGTTCACATGTTTTATCATTAAGAGCAAAACTGAGAAGAGAAAAGAAAGGAAGGGAAAAGATCCAAATTTCCAAGTGCAAATAAAGATCAGACAATGATGGGAGCCAAGATCCCTCTGGGATCTCTTTTTTACAGTTCATTAGTTAGTGAAATGCATATTTCAAAACATGTAAATAGTACCTTTGTAATCAGCATTTTCAAGATTTTGTGATTTCAGAATGAATGGTTTGATTTCTGAGTATAGTTTAAAAGTATCATGATTATTTTTCAGTAAATTCCTTGTTCCTGGATCACAGAGAATAGAAATACAGGGTAATGTTCCTGAGAAGGAGGTTTTCATGGTTGCATTTAAAAGACCAGATTCCTTATTGGTCTTCATCATACTAAACCGGTAAGGCTACAAACATAAATAGTTTATTGTGAGATCTACAGGGTTCGTCATGAAATCAAACATAATATGGTACCTACAAAACGTTTTGTCTCAAGATGAAATAAGATTATGAACAATTCATGGTCACAATAGTACATCTAGAAATTTTTTAAATACATGTACTGAAATAATGCATTAATCTATTCTGACTTCAGTTTAACTCATTTCTTAAAATGAGAACTAAAAATGAATGTAGATTTTTTGAGTCTGATATGACTATGCTGACATATCCATCAATCAATTTACTGATATAAGTAATAACTTACATTGATTTTAATTGTTAGGAAATGGAGTTATCAATTAACATTACCTTGTTTTTCATCTCGAATTTCATTTACCCAGTAGTAGTAGGTTTCACTATAATGATGGTCTAATTTCAAATTCTCACAACCTAAATAGCTTGCTGACTTATTATGATCTACTGATCATATTTTCTTTTGGAAAAATAGATTAATCATAATAAGCAGTTTCCATTGTGTATTATGTATATAACTTAAGAAATACTTTGTTCTTTGTATAATAGTTATTATGTGTGTGAATTTAGATAAATCCAATCATATTCAGGAAACAACTGATGAAATAAAAATTATTTCCTGAATATCAGTTTGTTCTGTTTCTGTCGTTGTAGGTCAGAGTTGAGTGGATCTGTTTCACTGACAAGTACAGGCCATGATTTCATGAATCTTTACTACCCTCCTCGTTCCTTACAAACAGTCCTGATGAGACAATAGTAATGTGATATTAGGTAATCAAAGTGATGGCTGTGATTGAAGATGGATTCCATTCTTTTAACTGATCGAACACAAAGTAGCTTACAGTGTCTATCATTTGTGAATGATTTCCTAGAAGTGCAAAGAAAGACTTTAAAGTTACAAAAGAAAATGATTATCTACAGTGCTTAGAACTCATACATTTTGTATTGAACTCCTAATTTTGGAATGGGTTTCTTTTGATTTATTTAGAGGCAAAAACCATGAGATAATTTTCTGTAACACGTGCTGAAAAATTTATCTTTTTAAAATAATAAAGCTTACGTGTTGATTGACCTGAATTAAGCTCCAGGCCAAAGTGACTCGATATAATTTTCCAAAGTTCTATTGGACCAAGAATTTCATTGATAGGCATTCAGTGTCGACCTTTTTATGTTATTCTTGGTGTTCATAAATCACGTTTGAACTCAATATACATGGTAACGAGTGATTCATGTATACATGTTTGATTTTATATTACATTAAATTATAGTTGGATATGAGAAAAATTACAGCTCTTATTCTTTGCCAATCAAAAAAGAAACTGTAAGTATTAAGTACTACAATTTTTGTGAATTGTTGACATGAAAATCTTGATAAACATCTGTCACACAAGAGGTTAAAGAAATAATGTGTATTCTATGATTTTATTTACTCAACTATGTGGGGCTAGCTACTCATTGTAAGCAATATTTGGTCAGGTACATAACCTTGATTTATCCTGATATCCTATGTTTTTTAGAACCAACAAATGGCCTCAAGGCCCCCAAACTGTACCTGAAACATGGAATACAATTATTTCTGAGTTATAGAGTTATCTCCCTTGTTTGATTTTCATCTGAATCCGTCATCTGACTTCTTCAGTTGCCATAACTTAACACAATGTTCTACTGTGTTTTCAAGTATTATAGATGTATGGTTATCTTCATTTTAGATGTGTAAAGCAATGAATAAATCCCATATTCAAGAGATTGTTCCTGTTAAAAACTTTAACAGGTATAATTTGAATTTCACATTTTCTTGCCTTTTCATTAATTACATCAGAAAATTCAGCTGCTTTTCAGAATATGTTTAATTCAGTCATTGATTTGGTGGTTAAATGCCTATAAATAGAAGTTCCTATGTGTAAGTAGAATCACAATCAGTGATTTATGGTGCAATGGTACAGTAAAGCACAGGCTGATAAAACCTCTGGTGAGGATCTGCGACAAGTGGTGTGACACTTCCGACAGCAGTGCATGCTTTTCAGTAAGCTGAGAAATGGACCAGTTTGTGCAAACATGGTCGTGTCCTTGGACTAGAAAAAAAATATTAAGGTTTTTCACGGGGCAATAAACCCTAATAAAATATCTTTCTGCTTCATTCCATGACTAAACATCAAGTAGTTTTCCAATTTTTTTTCATAAAAGTTTTGTCATCTTATTCCCTTGGCTGGTTCCCTACATCAATAGAATAACATTCTAATATGCAGGTGATGTTATGGATACTAGGAAATTTTCACCATCTTAAATACACATTTCTTGGGACAAATCTTGATTTCAGTTTACTATGCTGTATATAGTTCTTGAATCAAAGGGTGAAATCTTACTGTGGAGAAAATTTCCTAACACATAACATGTCATTATTTTATGTTGAGGAATAAATAAATGAAGACTAGACAAGGAAAATGTATTGAAATAATTTAATGAGACATTCAAATTGATATTTGATAACAAAAAGTTTGTTTTATTAAACAAGTGAAAACTTAAGATAAAAAATGAAAATGAAATAAAAACTATATGGAATACTGAACATGATTATGATGAATTGACCATCAATTATACAAAATGGATTCAATGAAATTATTAAATGATGACTTTTATCAACCATGCCTACCTCTATGTTTCAGGAGTAAAATGACATGTCAAACAATGAAATTTATTAATAAATTATGGTACCTTGAAATATAGAACACTTTTCATCATTTACTCAAGAAACAAGATTCTGGTATGCTTGACTATCATAACTGTTGAAGGCATTTTGTTATACAATAAGTAAATGGCATGACTCAGCACTCAGTCATAGTCAGGAAATACTGTTTGGACATAACTTATAAGTCCTTATCATACAAACATGCATAACAATTTCACTGTTTACACTGCCATACTTATTACCACTTCTGAAAGATTTCCAGATTTTAACCATCTCATCCTCACATTCACAACTTCCCAAGTCCTTTTAGATCTAAAATGCATGTCCTTTTAACAGGAAATCTGTTCTGAATTCACAATTATTCTTCTTTTGTGAAACATTTTTCGTATTATTTGTTAGTTAGTATTGAGAATACATCTTGGAGCTCTCAACAATTGTCTGATCTCACATGCACATAGTCTTCCAATTTTCAAAACACTTTTACTTTTTGGCAGCCTTTCCTTTCTTTGCCTTTGACTTTGTGGCTGTTTTCTTGGGAGATTTGGACTTCTTTGGTTTGGCCGCTGCCTTCTTTTTTGGTGATGCCTTAGCTTTCTTCTCGGACTTTGCTTTACTTTTCTTTGGCTTTGTAACTTTCTTTTTCTCTGCTTTTGGTTTTTTCGTTGCTGCTGCTGCTGCAGGTTTTTTAGCTTTTTTTGCGGGTTTATCTTTTCCCTTTTCTCCAAGTTTAAATGACCCTGATGCACCACTTCCTTTGCTTTGTTTTAGAGTTCCATTCTTTACACAGGCTCTTAATGTCATTTTTAAATGATTATTGTCCGATGCTCCATCAACTTTGTAGTTTTGCCGGATATATTTTAAGATTGCTTGTCTCGAAGATCCACTTCTCTCCTTCAAGGATCCTATGGCTTCAACGACCATATCTCTAAATCTTGGATGGGATGAAGGTTTCTTAGATTTGGATTTTGATGCTTTCTTCTTTTTAGCAGCTGCAGGGGCAGCGGCAGGTGCCTCTTCGGCCGCTGGAGTGGTTACTTCTTCGGAGTCGGACATTATTTCGTTCTTGTGTATTTGTGTATTGCACTAGGCGAAGTGAAACTAACTAGCAGTATGACGTGTGTGTTATAAACTTTGCTCGAACGTCGTGGAAGACACCCCAAGAAATCCGGTGCTCGTTGTGTATTTCGATTTCACTGTCGGAACTATTGTGTTTCTATGTTACATTTTCGGTTAAGTTTTGAGAATATATGATAATTGTGTAAACTGACATCGTTTGAGACAGGAGATATAGAGACTATTCTTTAATTTCATGCGTAATATTTCGTGCTTCATTAAAAATTAATGATAATATTGCCAATTTATTTCACCAGCGCTCAGTTTTTTACAGGTGTTACTTGCAATATTTTTGTAAATTCTATTTGAAAACTTCAACTAACAGTCTTCATTGAGTTAGTGATTATTTCATTGGTACTTCATTAACTGTCTCGTCGACGGTCTGCTGCCGAAGTGCTTTCGGGGCCGAGAAAACATCCCGTTTTCAGAGGGACCCAAACACACCAAGACGATTAGATTGAGCTAATGCTTTTGTAAGGGGTGTACTTTCCTAAATTAATTATAAATTAATTCACGGGAAAAATATTGTTCATTTAGGCATGTATTTTTCATAAGAATATTCATGATCGAAATGTGATGTCATATTATTTGTAAAATTAATACATATTTGAAATATTAAAGAAAACGGCCCGCTCCTATCAAACAGCTTAGCTAAAAATACGCCATTTTTATGTCAAGTCGATCTGCATGTCAATTCCTCTAAATGCGTATTTTAGATTGCTGAAGAAGTTTGTGACAGAAATCTGTTCCTGGTTTAAACACAAGTAGGGTTAAGAATTATTCTGAGTATTATTTGTTTGCAAATACATCGAAGTTTTCGAAATATTCACTGAAACACATCGCAGGGGTGCTAGCCTCGCCAAGGTGACCTACTTTTCATTTCCAGACGATTACGACGTCTACATCAGAAGATAAAAGAATTACCAAGCGTAATTTCATATAAAAATCATTAGCAAATAATCATATATTAAAGAATATGTCACAAAAATTAAAAAATGGAAATTGGTGCACAGAGTTTGTGGAGTGACCTTTTTTTTATAACAAAGGGTCAGATTGAAAGCTCATAAATAACGGCTCCAGCTGCACAGGGCGTCGGGCAACAAAACATCTGACATCAGAACGAATTCATAAAATAAAGATGATATTTTGAAATAAATTAGTTTTTAATGATGTTTTTAAACGCTGTGTTTTAAAAATTCATCTTCATAAACTTTTAAAAACGTCCTTTTTGATAAAAGTGTTTCGTTTGTTATTTCTACGTCACAAGCTAAGATTTATACACACGTGTGCCAGCCGATACACACGCGTACACATAAACAAGTTATGTAATAGGACTGGTATACATTGAAAGAATACAAATACGACTGCCTACTTACAACAAACACGATTGTGTACATAACAAAAGAAAATATTTAGTGATGTATCTATATGGTTCTACAATAGCATTAGTACATTACATCTAAGTACTAGAAAAACGCATTAATTTATCATCGGCGCAATTTCCCTCTTGTCACATAAAAAAAATAACATTTTAAGATGAATTCTTGTTTACACTGTTTTTGAGTAAAAATTACCAAAATGTTACCTTTAGAACATATTTTAGATTTTTTTTTATTTATTTAATATCTATTTTAATGAATACAATTTTAAAAAAAATGAAAATCGATTTAGACCAGGAATATACAATTTACGTCATTGTTAAAACGTAATCTTATTTTACTTTAATGGGAAAATGCGAATTATAGAAAAGACAATTTTTAGTGATTTTCCATCGCATCAGGAAGGTTCACTGATGCTAGATTTAGCACCTCTTTGTTAACAGAGAAAAACATTTTCTCGAACAAGAAGCGATTGTTATAAATTGGCAGCTGACCATTGGGGTCAATGGTGTTTTTTATTTCAAAGCAAAACGGGTATTACTATTTCGCAGACAAAGCCTAATTCAAACATATGAAAAGGCCGAACCCCACCCACACGAAGACACAAACGAAAAGATGAAAAACTAACAAAAAAGAGAAGGGAAAAAGGAAAAGCATTAAACTTTTCAATGGGGAAATTAGAGTGTGTGTGGGTTTTTTTTTTTTTTTTTGTATTTTGTTTTTTTGTTTTTATTTCAAAAATCGAAAGATATAAATCTTCAACAAAAAAAGTATTCAAATATTAAATAGTGTATTCTACTACTACTAATACATCATACCATCAGCACCCAACACTAACACCAAAAATGGATAAACAATGGAAACACCAGGAGCTGTATTACAGCTGCAGATATAAAAAAGAATGGAAGTGACAGAACTACATTGATTAACAACAACGAGTCCGGTGAAGAGGAATTTTAATTCCTGTACTGGAAATCAACTATAAGTAACTATAAGTAATGTAGGGGAGTAAACTGCTGTAATATTTTACGAATTGTCTCCCTTGATTCATAAGGACAACAGGAAGTGAAGAATAAGAAAATGACAACTTCGGCTATGATCACTGAAGTTAGCACCTTCCTTCATTGAAGATGTCTGGCTTCATCTCCTACATCAGCAGGAATGAGGTGGAACGTGGGAAAGAGGTAACGGTTGTTTTCAGAATGGTAACGATAGATACAAAAGTTGGAGAAAGATTTACATGTTGTAGAAATATCATCGTTGACCCGCCCTCTTTTCTGCCATACTGTAGGTGTTAAAGTTAGGCTAGCTAGGTTTTATCGCGAGACCGGAAAAGACCGGATATAATCATTATTTATATCAAATGTTTTTATCTCTAAGTTGCTGTACATGTCATGCTTGGCTTAGATATCAGTTAAGTTTAAAAAATCTACATTAGTCAGTAGTCTTGAATTTTGTTTCGATACAAAATTGTTTTTTTTATTCCAAGTTGAACTAAAAGCTAGACATATTATATATGTGTAATGTTAGAAGAAATATAGATGCGATTTATACATTTGTATTTTCTCCTAAATAAAAAAAAAGAATTATGCCTAAATGGAGTTTGGTATGGGTGTAAATATACAAACAAACAAAAAAAATTTTAGAATATTCAAGTGTTATGTCACTTATAATTATGCATTTATCTTAATGTTACGTATAAGTGGTAAGTCGGTTGTGTACATATACTGAGTATTCTTGATGTACTTCGTTGACTTGTGTATAAGTATAAAAAATATGAACAAACAATAAGCTAAAGGAAAATCTGTTTTTGTTGAGTTTAAAATAATTTTTTTTTTAATTTCTTCAAGAAGAAGCACAAAACTATTGATGGCTATCACAAAGTATGAAAAGTTCAATTAAAGCTTAGCAACAACATGCCATCTCTATGTGGTACAAGAGTTGATAAGTATGATTTATAAATGACCTAAGGCAGGGGCAAGATATTACATGTGTCTGTTTTAAGATGTAGAAAAATCCCATGAATTGGCAACCAATCTTTGTTATATCATTTAATGTGGTTCTTTGATAAAACCTTCAGTCATATCAAATTAACAGATATGTTAACATTGAGTATACTTCGCTTCACCAATAATTAATTAACTTTTTGTTTTCTTTTCAATATTAACACAAGTTAAGCATACCTGCCAACTTTTCAAAATTCTCATGGGGGAAAAAAGTGTGGAATGAAATTTTTGACTCACCACAATACCTTGTGAATCGCAAACATTTGTCACAAAGGAAAAATTAATTAATGTATATTTAATCAATACATCTAGATAACTTTAAATGTACATGAAATTTAAATAATAAAATATCTGCTTTTTTGGCATGTAAGGTTCAAGTTGGAATTTATTCATTTAAATGCTCAGTATTCATTAAACTCACACAATATAACATATTAATATTGTATGATTATCTGTTTGGTTGTTAATACGGAAATGTTTTACATAAGTGTAAGTAGCTACTTCCTGTTTAACCATTATCAGGTTTCAGTGGAGAACCAAATATGCTTGAAATTTTAATCAACTTTTCAGTGAGTAAAATATGTGTTTGGTCTGATTTATTATTTATGATGCCAACTTGTTTGTAAGGACTGTTGTGGTTAAATTATCGGTATTTATTGAGGAATGCTTGTACATTGTTACATCATTTTTCAAACCATTTTCTTGTTGAATTGGTTATTTTACTGAATAGGAATTATAAACATAGTAATAACTACTTAGTTATCTGTAAAATGATCTTCACCAAACATTTGCCAGGGCCAGCCCCCCCGAGTCCTGACCAATGGTCTACTGTTGATTAGGTAGGGTAACAATCGGTCGTGTACAGTTGTGCTCCCATGACTAGCAGTCAGCTAGAGTTAGCTGTAATTGGATGATATTAATTAGATAATTGTGCAGTGTATTCACCTAGGTAGGACTTGGTTATGTGGCCAGGTGGTCAACCAATTTGACAAACAAGCAAGGTTACTTATGACCTACCTAGCAGGATCTCTGAAATCGGGATTACCTCAGTTTCGATCCATACAATCAGGAGGCAGGGATGGGGAGTGAAAATGGGAAACTCCAGACTGAATCGGGAAAGTTGGCAGGTATGGTTAAGAATTAAGGCGGTGTCAATTTCATACTATTTTTGCCAGCTGGTGAGCATTTTTAGACGAAAGCCATATATTTTTTTTCCTGATATAATTTGAGAATAGGCAAAAATTTTACTAAAGATAAGTATCGTTAAGGTATAACAGGAGTTCTGTAGGACGTATTTGTGATGGCCCTGATAATTTTCATTTACCTCCTGCAGGTATAACGTTTATTTTGACTGATCAAAACACCATCATAATTGGTCAGTATTTCTAAGTACTAAGTGATTACAGAATGCAAAGCATATTACTTCCGCATGGCCTTGAGTTAATTTTGGTGTTTCAAACTTTTTTTATTGAACCAAATAGGCTGTATACATTTTTTTGAGATCCATCAAAAACATTCAAAATGTTGATCGTTTTTGTGACATTATACAAAATTTTTCTATTGGGGAAAAAATCTCTTGATGGAAAATAATAGTATAAGGTTATGTTAAATCTCTAGGATTTACAACATATTTTGTACATTTACATGGTTGATATATACCCTTCTTGAGTATGATGTTTTTTATTAACCCTTTCGGCGCCAATTTATATCTTACAATGTACAGCTCAGCGCCAAATATTTTCCGGAAAATATCCGAAAACATCAGAAAAATTGTCGACCAAAGTCGCCTACGGCGCTGAAAGGGTTAATCTGAAAATGACAATAATCTTTTACCATTTTAATGCTTTCAGTAGGTATATAAAACAGTATAGAAACATTTCTGTTAAAAAGCAACATATATACATATATCAAATTTGGTTTGGCCTCAGAATTTTACATCAGTTTAGATAAGAGATGGAAAATATTTCCTGTTAGCAATTTACAAACTTATAAGTAAGTTGTTTTGATGTGAAGTGATCGTACAACTGAATGCAAAAATGATTTCGTGTGTATTTTGATCACGGTCTTATAGACAAAATGTAAGATTCTTGAATTCAATGCTACAAATATGATTGATAAAACAGCATTTGTACCTTGCGAAAAATAATGATATACATTATGTAGATAAACTTGCACTGACAATTAAAGAAAAAATATTTTTAATCCATATTGAAATTTTACAGAAATAAACAACTTTGAAAAAAAATGTATGTGTTGATAATAATCTTTACTGTTACCGGTGTTTAAATATTCAATTTTTTATTTATCATCAAATTGTCAACAAATTTATACACAATTGATTCCTTGTTAAAAAGACTTACATCATGCTTTAAATAGAATAATTACTATCGATAAAGCCATGGACTCAATACTTAATGTTGTATCTCTAAAGAATTTCAGTGTGTCAGAATTACCTGTATAAAAAATATATTCAAGTTTACAAAGAGAAAAAAAATCTGAACAAGTTTGAAAAAAATTGGATATATCTATACCTACATTTGTATTTGTGTTGGTGAGAATAAGTTACCTACGTACCAGTTTTACTGTTTATGAAAAATTCCATATTGTCATCAGTTTCTGGAACTGTGTAATGTATACCTCCAATTTGAGAACTTAAAAATATATTGATAGACTTATCAAAATTAATTTCCTGGAATTAAAATAAAAATGATATTAAAATAGGATGAACATTACAAAACATAAGAATTACCTCCATTTATCTGACATAACCTGTTGAAAAATTAACAAATGATCCATTATGACGGTGTGTAATTCGTCAATAATTCAAACAAATTCATTCATTTTTAATGACCTATACAAACATTGGAAACAACAAAGAACATTTATCGCATAGATTTATAGTCAAATGTTTTAATTAGACAGTTCTGGTTTCCAGATTCCTGTGTCCTAGCTGTGTTTAGTCAGTCTGGTCTTTTTCCCACCATGTAAAAAATATCAAAGACAAATTATATGAGTTTGATTTAAATAAATACATACAACTTGATCACTGACAAATGTCTGTTTGCATTCTATTTGTAGTTAGTTCAGCTTTTTCTGGTGTGTGACTGTTATTCGCTTGCATTGGGCTCATCCTGAAAATAGTTCTCAACAAGGATATCACTGTGTGAAATTGCAGTAGTGTATTTTATTGATCATAAGATCTTGAAAATTAGAAAGCTCCTACATATAACCATCTAATGCTTTCCGTTTAAGATCCCCATTGATTATAAGACAATGTAGAGTCCCTACAAGACCATTCCACAATAATCCTACACCAAATTTTTGTAAGCTTCCCACTGGACCCTCAGCTAGTCTCTTGATAAATTCAAATCACCGATCGCAGGTGCCCCCTAGTACCAGAAACACCCCACTTATGATACCAACCAGGGACTCTTTCAGAGCCCCCTCCATCTCCTAACCTCCACCCCAAGTGTTAGTCTGTACACCTACCATCACAACCTGTACACATGGCTTGATTCATATTCCGATTAAACAGCAAGATTCTTTTGAATATGCGATTATATACGTTACTATGATTCCAGACTAGACCCAGTGAACCATTTTCGGTCTTACGAAGGACTAGCTATAGCCTCCGAGACGTGGGATTATCTCAGGTACAACATATATAGATTTGTCTATTACACTGCTTTACAATTAATCATATGACTGTCTTTCCTATTTCACTCCCTGCTTTCCGATGTGCTTTCGTCCTGACTCACTGTTTCCACGACAACAAAGACCTTCAAGTCTTATTTAATTGATGAAGAGGAAGAAGAAAATGATGTAAGTGATCACAGATACAATCAATAGTTATTTATTCAATTACTAATTAGTTTATTGTGTTGTGATCTAATTAAAGAATTGATACAACTTTATATAACAGTACTGAAACCTTACAAAGTTTTGCAATATCTTTATTTTATTTATTTATTAATTTTTTTATAAATTTATTCAATTTACACTGTACACTGCTCTTTGTCAGATGAACTTGATATGTAGCAGAGTAAAAATATTATATAAGAAGACTAGGTTACAAGTGATTTGAAGAAAATTTGAACAAAATTGAAATTGACAATAGGATATGAAATTTGATTGGTCTGATTAACAGATAATGCATTTTCAGTCCCTCATTCCTGATTATCGTAAATATTTTTTGTTAGGACTTTTTTTGTATTAATTATTGACTTTGCTTGATTTTCAAAGGCAGATAAAAAAAATTGTGTTTAATATCAACCAGTACAAAAAATATGATAATGATATCAAGATAAACATAAACAAAAATAAAATAAAAACAAAACAAAAAAGTTTTTTTTGATAGTTCACATGTAATGCATTAGGAAGTTTTGGCCTGATATTAATTATGATAAAGAACTGAAGAATTTTTCACAGGCACCCTCTGCAGAATATATAGATATATAAAGACTTGCTTGAGTGTTATTCTAGCTGGACAGAGCTTTGTTGATTATCATTTAATCGCACATTCCCATCTTTGCTAGTTTGCTAGTTGCCATAGTTACCTTGTCAAGCGATAAGCTGAGGAGATCAAAGTATTACATCTGATTCAAAGTCTTATGATGAGGAAGTAGAATCTGCTGTTCATTCTACAGAATGTAGTTTATATGGATGGGCTTATTGCAGGACATGGGCTTATTGTAGGATCAATAAATATCATGAGGTATATATTTGTAGATTCTAAATCAAGCAATAACTGGATATTATAAAGTTGTCTTACTCTTGTAAGTTGGTTGTGATTTATTTCATTTTGAAAGATGTGATAAGAACAAGCTCCCACTCACCACAAATGCCCAAGGGAAGCTCTTTAATGGCAAAACATGCATATATAGAGACTGACAAGGTTACCTCCCTTCCCATACATATTGCCCTTAAAAATTGATTGGTCACAATTACTGACTCTTTATATAGCCTTTCATTGAAAGTAAATGCCAGTGAATTACATGTTACAGGTTAGTATAAGCTGGTCTCTTTTAAGGATATTTGTAACATATTATAACTGTGCACATAGAGTTCATATCACAGTCAAAGTTCATTATATTGACCAATGAAAATGTTCTAGAGCTGTTAATTAATTTGTGGTATTAAGTTACTTAAAGATGATCCTTACTGCATTCACAAGTTTATATGTTATGTATTATGATCCAAATTAGACCTAGAATAGAAATCAGTATTTAATATAAATAGGAAGTTTTTACTGTCTGGCATATTTTTCCTTAGGTTCCGCAGGGTGGGGGACCGCTGGAAACATTTTCATTTCATTTGTTTGCAAATTTAGTTAATTGATTTGGAGATATACAAAATGTATGCAATGTCAGGCTCCTAACTTAAAAAAATAGTTTGAAAAAAAACCCTGTATAATAGAAATGTAAAATTTTAATAATGTGATATTTTATATGAAAAGAAATTGTGTTTTATGATGATAAGTTGCTTCTGCATATTCTATAAACATCCTGTCATTTTCAGTATGTTAAAACAAAGTAATGCAAACTTCCATATTCGACCTAATAAACACAATGTGCTTACAAAAACACACGAGCGGTGCGCTTAATAAAGCCATCTACAGGGAAAAGTTTCCGTTTGAAACCTGAATGGAAAAAACTATTAAGAAAAGGTTAATTAACATACCTTTATGTAGAGTTATTATAGACTGAATCTCGTATTGGCTGATCTAGATCAGTCAGACAAAGACCTTTGTTATTGGTTTGAATTAGCACGTCCATCCACTTTCCCTGAATAAAGGTAGCCATACACTTACATAGGAATATAGGGGCTGGTTCGATTCATAGGATAAAGACGGTATTCTCAATTTTACCAGATAAATATAGGTATATATATATATCATGTAAATAGAAATGTCATTTTCTTGTCCTGCATAAATAAACCTTTAACAATATGTTGTGCCTTAGACCAATACTAACACTTAACATTTTTTACATATGATATTTCATATTCAAATTTTATATTGTGTAAATCGTTTGAGTATTTCGTTTACGGTATGATGAAAATCAAGGTCCATAAATATTTCACATGAAATAGAAACTACCTTAAATTCCTTTGTTAGCAAATATTGATAATTGATTTTGCAAATAATGGTTTCAAATGATAAAGTTTTCTGTACAATTCCTGGGGATATTTTTTGCCCAAATATCTATTGTCTTCATTATGACGTCATGATAGTTATAATTTGTAAGTTTGGGATGGTTTTTAATAGCATTTCATATCGTCTCAAAAAGTTGTACATGTATGTACTGATATGTATGTTGTACTGTTCAAGTAACATGGCAATCATGAGCTTAGGAGATTGATTAAAACTTTTTAAAAAAGTCATTGCAGAAAAAAATTTCTAGTGTGAAATGTTTTCATTAGAAATATTCCAGAATACTTGAAAGATTCAGAATAAGAAGAATGTAATCAGAATATGAATTAGATTTTTACCTGCAAATTGTAATTATATTACCTAAATCTAGAGATAGATTAATAATTTTGAGACTTAAAAGAAGTGTGTTGCTGTTACATAAATAGCAGGTTATATTATGATATGATCAATTGAAAATCACCATGAACGAAGATTTGCGAAAAAAAACATTTTTGTAGCCTGTAATTATTTAATTTTACCTTTGTTGAATTTGTACAGGATGAACTTAACAAACGTGCCTCAGCATTTTTCCAAACAGATCTTGCTCCACACATGTTACCAGGTATACATTGCAAACGTTGACATGATCTAGATGTCATTACTTTTCAAGTTCGATGCAATTTAAACAAATGGACTTTTTTAAAAGCAAATTTTGATGGTCAGTTCATTCAAAAAAAGTCTGAATGTTTACAATATTATGGTTAAAGAAAAAGATTTAGTTTAGCTTTCACAGATGGAAATTATGTGTCCTAAAATCTAAATTTCAAGAATATTGCTGTTGCAGATATACCACCTCGTTAGTAAAAGTGAAAAACTAATACCTTTGAGAATAAAAAAACAAAACATCAGCATTTTTAAAAGATTTGAACTACAGCCTAATAGGAAATAAACTTGATAACATCTATATTTGCTTGGCAGGCGAACGCTTGGTTACAGAGGCAGATAGTGTGTTGAGTTTCACGCCCTTTACAGAGAAGAAAAAGGGCATTTCAGGAAAACTGTTTGTTACTAACTTCAAGGTCTGCTTCCTGACTGCTGATCGATCGTCATATGAAGGGGTAGGTGACAACATCTCAAATCTTACTTGTGCTGATCAGACTGACTTTTATCACAAATCTTTAATTGAAAAAAATTGAAATTTGTTTTGGTTCATTAGTATTTGAATTGTACAGTGTATTCACAAATGAGATGTAAATTTTAAATAACTAATATCTATTAAGATATATTTTTTGTATGTTAAATGAGATTTTAAATGATCTATCTGTTAGAGGTGGTAACTTATTGATAATTAATTTGAATGAAATTTAGTTAAAAAGACATTTTCATAAAATGCTTCCCAGCTTTGTCAGGTTTTGCAAGTAATTCACCTGTAGTGGCACCCAAACCATTCTTTTAGGGAAAGATAGACTTTCTTCCCAAGATGTTCATTCAGGCAGAAAATCACTGTAGTAGAACAGGTTTTGTATTTATGCTGTTATCAAGCTATAAAATGATTGTTATGTGAAGAAGATGATCTTAAAACAAGTGTTTGTTGACTATCGTATTTTTAAAAAAAAATCTACCACATTGTTTCCTTCATTTTTATTTCTGATCCTCAGCCTTCAGCAAAAAGACAGCGAAACAAACTAATTAGAGACACAGACATTCCACTTACTTGCATTGATGCTATTTATCAGGGTAAGTCAAAAGAGCAATTTTATCATCAAGTTATCATATTTCTAGAATAATTCAATGATTTAAACAAAATCAATATAAATATGTCTTTGTGTCTTTTCTATAACCTTCTCAAATATAAATATTGTTGAATCAATTGTTTAAATATAGATATATAATAATTTGTTTTATATAGACAGGCATTGCTCAAATGATTAGATTAGACAGGAGTGACTTTGTTACATATTCTTCTGCTATAAACTTTGTTTTGATATTTTAGTTGTGTCAGGGAAAAGGAGAAAGTTGACACCAGGAACGACGGTTTCCAATATTACAAAATATTTAGAACTTCATTGTAAGGTTTGTAAGGCACTTCTGACAGTCTTATTTCTGATTCTCTGGAACGTTTTATTTAATACAATTTTATACACATTTAATTGAAATTTTTGGTGTAAATATATTGATATTCAGAATACTGCACCTTAAACTATCAAAAGAAAATCTCTCATTATTTTTGTTAATGCATAATGAAGACCTAAGTTTTGTTTGTTTTTCAGGACTTTAGAGTACATACTTTTGGATTTAAATTTTCACCGAAAGACCAGAACAAGAAGGTGGGTTCTTAATTCATATTCAAGCTGACTATTTAAAAAATTAAATGTTTGATTATCTCTGACCTTTGGTGACCTCTCTGTTAGAATGATAACACAGAAAACATAAGAATGAAAACAAAAATATTTTGGTAGTGAATTTGTTTAGTTCCTATCAAAAACACTCCATTATGATAATCACATTATTTTAGAATATCACTTAGATGAAGAACTGAAAGTATTTGTTGGTCTTTTAACTTGACATGGAAATAGTGAAACTTCTAGTAGATGTCTTCAGAATAAATTAGGAAATCTTATATCAGTAAGTAGGATTTAGCTTCAGAAAACTATCAAATTTGAATATGCACAGTGCTTTCTTGTAAGACTTCACCATGAATTTTGCGTGGAGGTGTAATGGGAAATAACTAATGGGTATACTCTTGTAAGCAAACAAACGTCTTCTCCTTAATAGAAATATCCTGTGGAGATTTGTGTCTTATTTAAATCTCAAATCACTGCATTCACTTTACTTACAGTTCTAGCAGGGTTAATATATTGCTATTGGTTGAAATATAGAGGATTTATTGCGAGAAAGCAAAATTTTAATAAGTTGGAGCAGTTTAGCATGTAAGGGTTGGCAGGATGTAATGGAATAGCCAAACCTGTCTATAAAGGTCACTCAAGGGAGCAGAGAAAAATTACTTTTAAAGGGCAGGTGACCTTTACATAAAAGGTACAATTAATATGAATTGTTTTATGTTTGGACCCAAAACCATTGGCCTTTATAGACAGGTTTGATGACATTTTCAGTTTAAGCTATACCTTGTTACACTTATATAATAACAGAAATAAATTTAAAGAGTTTTGTAGTATTTTTCTGTAACTATTATTAAAACCATATCTGTTTGTTTGCTGGGTTTATCGTCCTGTGAACAACCAGGGTCATATTGAGGGCAGAGTCTCCTTGTAGTAGTTAGAGGCTACCTCACTGAACAGTGTATGGGAGGCCCGTCACATGTCACCCACAACAACTAATGTAAAACATATTGCCAAAGGACACAACTACAGCAGCGCAAAATCCATGTTCTCATCTTCTAGATAAAGACAAACTGCCCTGGGTAGTGCTGAGGCACATAGTGTAATACCCAGTTCTGTCCATCCTTTCTCACGTTCTGAAGCAATGTCATGTCTTGAGAACTTCTGGTTTATATTTACCCCATAGTATCATTGCATTAAATTCTATACCTTAAAAACTTTATCATAACTTTTTGCTGCCACATAATGGACCTCCCTTATGTTATTCAATGAAGGAGCCACCAGCTACTAGGAGACACCTGTCACAAAATGGTCCTGCACCAAGGGCAATTAACCCTGAAAACAAACATCTACTCCTTATCATATTATGTTAGCTGAGCATTAGTAAGGGTTTGAATGGTCAAAGGTCACATTTGACATTTATTTTTGCAAATTCATAAAACAATTATGGTATACTTAAGCTTATATGCATTGGAGTTTGTGCATACATGTCTGACAGACATTTTCGTGTTTTCAAATAGCTGTGATTAATCTGTTTCCTCTATCTACAACACTAAAGTTTTGGCATTTTGATGCAGGTCAGAATGTCTAAATTCTATGACATGAGCTGACTATGGTTCCAACAACCGGACGTTTTTAATCGTCATAATTGTCTTTGATAAAAGACTGTCTGTAGTCCCTGTATTGAAGACAACACCTGCCTTAATTATCACCTACTTATTCAGGTGTATTTGGTCAATGTCCAAGTTTGTCATTCTACAGAGGTTTCCTTGTACAAAATGTACTGTCAAACCTGTATAAAGAGAACTGTTTTGGATTAAGTCCAAAAATATTTCATATCACATATTGATTCTTAACGGAGGTAAAAAATTTTATTTTTCAGTTAATGAATGCCATTGTTCATCATGCTTATCCATCCAAATCCAACCTGCTGTTTGCATTTGACTATGGCAAGAGTTTACCAAAGCAAGGTAGGAACCATTTAAAACCATGGACAAAATATTATGGAAATTCAATGCACTATTTAAATACAAATTAGAACACTTAAAACTAGGAGGTAAGGGGGGGGGAGGCAAGTTGTATTAATGTACATTTTTTGAATAAGGAATTGAAATCATTTGAATTGATCTTTACTAGGATTTGTTTATAATGAGGTTGAGAAGATAGCATTTTGTGAATTTTTTAAGGTCTTGTTATATTAAGACCCATAAGGAGAATGGAAAACAATGTAAACACATAATCAAACAATCAATATTGTAATAATATAGGTTAAACATACTTGTCACTATGAATATAAATATGAAATTCATCATTCAATACAAATTTGACATACTGATCTTTAGTACAAAGGGACAAAAAAGACTTTACTTTTAAAAAATTTACTTCTTGAAAAAAAAGAACATTTTATTTATTTTTTGAAATTTTCTGAACATTTGTTCGAGTTGGTTATAGAAGTTCTTAAAACACAACCAGAGGATTAGAGTGTGAACATTTCGATGACCACATGATCACCTTCATCAGACAAATGACCAGGGTAAAGTGTACTAACACAGACATATGTAGTGTACAAGATGGTAAGGAATTGACTAACTATTTCAACTGTACTATAATCTTAAGCTCACAAAGGTTGAAAGTAGTGTGATGAGATGGTAAACAGATTAATTAAATGAAAGGACAGGTAGTGATCCTTATATCAGATGAATGTCAGAAACCATTCAGAGGATTTACCTTGGTCATGGCATAGCAACAGTCATAAAACCTAAGAAGGCTCTCCGAAATCTCCTAGTCCATCCTTAGGATAAAACATTCAATGTGTATACAAGTCAGATGCAAGAAGTGCGACACATCTGTTATCGGAGATACAAGCATGAGATTCAGGGTCCAAAAATTTTGAAATAGCTGGCAAAGAAAACAACCTTTTAGGGTAGTTGAAGGAGGTCATCTGGATATGTGGCAGTGGGCCAATACTGAACAAGGATGAGTGGGGGCATAGGATCTCGCACGTCTATGATCAAGTGTTAAACAAAATGTAGCTGAATCAACTACAGTACATTGTTACCATCTTCTGTACTTTCTTTCTAAATTATCTGTTTGCTATCTTGTCACACTATTTTCATTCTTAGTGTACACAGGATTATAGTTCAATGGAAAAAGTTGGTCTATTGCTTACACTACATGAGAGTCAGTGCTAGTACAGTCCACATTGGTCATTTGTCAGATTTAGGTGACTGTGTAATCATGGAAACGTCTTACCCGAATCTTCTACTGGTTGTCTTATTAGAACTTCTATTCTGAGGAAATTTTAAAGCATGGCATGAAAGAAAATTGATTACTGTTAAAGGTTTTGCGTAAATAGACATTAGATATTGTTACATATCTTGCAGGTTATATGTGTGATACTCCGCTCTATGAAGATGCCTCTGATTGGGAGATGGAACTTAACATGTGTAAATGTACTAAGTGGAGAGTGTCTGAAGTGAACCAGAACTTTGAAATGTCTATGAGGTTTGTATGTATGGAAATTGGACAAGAACAAGTGAATTATTCTAAAACAGGTGCTAAATAAGAACACATTTTTTGGCACTTCCTTATTATTTCAATTTATTTATTTGTTAATGTTTTTTGCTTTAGATTTTGTTATTAATATTAACAGAAAAATCTCTTTCTACTTACAAACATACAGTGAGATAACAATCAATGATGTAACATATTGTGTTAGAAGAATTAATGTGACTATCTTATAAAAATGAAAAACATTTATTGATAATGAAATTGCAGTGGTACATTACTTGTATGATATACTGTCCAGAGTGACACCTTGAATATTTTAACATTTTGTGTTTTCTGACTCACAAAGATTCTTGTATTCTGCCAACTTTCGTATGATGAACACGTCCCTTTAAAACTGTGTAGTCTTTGTGTAGGGACACCCTGGCTAATATGATCTCTGAGAACTTCCCTATTAAACTATGTACCTACTGACATCCTGTGTAATCAGATTCCTAAAGATTTCCCATTTAAACAGTCTCTGTATTCTGCCACTCTGTCTAATCTGACCAATATATTTTGGTGTGTATGTTGTCTGATTATATAGGTTAATATGATCAGTATACCGGGTGTCCTACACAGTGTACAATTTTACTGAAGCATTAATTGATGTGATTTTATTGTGTCACAGTTTGCCAAAGCTCATTGTGGTTCCTGGTGCATTGTTTAACTCTGATCTGATGAAGGCGGCTGGTCACTATGTCCAGGGACGTATCCCTGTGAGTATTGTACTAGATATCAGTTGGCAAACACTTCTCCTAGTTAATGTATAATTCCAAGTTGACATACAATTCTAAGTTGACATACAATTCCAAGTTGACATACAATTCCATTTTGACATACAATTCTAAGTTGACATACAATTCTAAGTTGACATACACTTTCAAGTTGACGTACTCTTTCAAGTTGACGTACTCTTTCAAGTTGACATACAATTCCAAGTTGACATACAATTCCAAGTTGACATACAATTCTAAGTTGACATACAATCCCAAGTTGACATACACTTTCAAGTTGACGTACTCTTTCAAGTTGACGTACTCTTTCAAGTTGACATACAATTCCAAGTTGACATACAATTCCATGTTGACTTACAATTCCAAGTTGACATACAATTCCATGTTGACTTACAATTCCATGTTGACTTACAATTCCAAGTTGACATACAATTCCATGTTGACTTACAATTCCAAGTTGACATACAATTCCATGTTGACTTACAATTCCATGTTGACTTACAATTCCAAGTTGACATACAATTCCATGTTGACTTACAATTCCAAGTTGACATACAATTCCATGTTGACTTACAATTCCAAGTTGACATACAATTCCATGTTGACTTACAATTCCAAGTTGACATACAATTCCATGTTGACTTACAATTCCAAGTTGACATACAATTCCATGTTGACTTACAATTCCATGTTGACTTACAATTCCAAGTTGACATACAATTCCATGTTGACTTACAATTCCAAGTTGACATACAATTCCATGTTGACTTACAATTCCAAGTTGACTTACAATTCCATGTCGACATACAATGTACAATTCCAAGTTGGCATACTGTAGATTTATAGATTGTTATTGAAGAGGTATATAAATGAACCCTGTTAAGTGTGGCTCTGTACCACTGAGCCATGTGAAATGTATCCTGATAGAAGTACCCTCTACAAGGTATAACTGCCATTTGTGTTATTTAATTTAACATAAAATCTGAAATTTTGGTCAACTATCAATATTATAGTTACTGTTGTAGTTGACTCTTTGTAATGCTCTTTATCATGATTATAGGCATGGAGATATGACGTCATGAATGAAGGATTCTTGTGTGACGTCATCATTTCACACTTTGGACTTGAATTTTGCATATTTTGTTATGCATTTATGAACAAAAGCCTATTTGAAATATTGTCCTTATGTCAATCTTTGTCCAGCTTTTGAAATTTTCTTTCACAGAATTATGATAAACATTGAAATTTTGTATTTAGCTAATAATATCTGAATATTTAAAGTTATTGTGTTGCTATGGTATGAGAAAGACTGAAACAATAGACTGTTTCATGATGGTACGGTTTACAGGCTGACAGACTGAATGTTTTCATTACTCTTGTATCTTTGATGGAATGGATAACAATGAAATTGTATTTTAATGAATAAAAATGGCAAATGTAAGGGTCAATTTTCTGTTTTGTTTAGGTTATCAAGGGGTAACTACAATTGATCTAAGATAAATTTTTGTTTATCTCTTTACTGGAATTCATTTATAGTTACCACATAAACAAAATGAAAAAATTAATCCAAAAAAAATTTCATTATAATATATGTATATTTTGACCATGAATGAATTACAATTTTCCCTCGTGTACAAAGTTAATGTAATTAGTATAATTATTGTTAATGTAATTATGCAATTATGTGGTAAAATTGATCAAAGATTCAAATTTTATTTATATTATACAGAACATGGTGCAATGTGCTAAAACATATTTCAGTATTCTTTAGTACAAGATTCTATAATTTTCCGTTCCATAGTGTTGGTGCTATACACATAAAAATGGAGCAAGTCTTGTGAGGTCAGCTGATCTGATTCCAGACGCGGACACAAACTTTGAAGAATTGTAAGTACTTCATACAGTCATAAATAACTTCACATTATCTAATAAATATGCTTTCATACAGTTCCTGCAGGTCACATAGAAATGATTTTAGCTTACATGTATACAATTCATTCAGAATATGGCAGTCTTGGTAATGTTTATACTGATTTATTTGGATAAGTTTTAGGCCATCCTTAATATTTTCTGTTTGGTTGGGGTTATATTGTTGAATTAGTAGGTCAAAGTTCAACAAATTATATCTCATTTTAAGCCTTACTATCAGACTGATTCTGGTAGCTTTCTCAAAGTGTTGTTTTTCCCTTTGAATAAAAAAAAAGTAAAAAATTTTCCACTTGTGTTCATCAATCAGCATCATTGTATGGTGGTTAAGCTACAGTGTTAACATTCAAAGTGAGGCAGAATTTAATGGAATTTCTGGGTCATGCCTGTTGTCAATGATATCAATTTCACGGAAATTTTACTGGAAGATCTGCATATGTAATGAGGTGTAGTTATTATTACTGTAAATCACTTAGATTACTAAAATACTTTATTTCACAAAACAACCTCTTCAGACAAATTCGTGAATACCTGATTTTACAGTTATCTGGTGAAGACATTATGTTTTGCGTATGATGAGCTATTAGGTATACATTGTATATCGGTAATCGAACCAGCAATGTGATGTTGATTTATGTCTCTATTGAATATAGTTTATGTCTATGTAGATCAAATTTCCTTATTACATGTACCAGGGTAATCTTTATTAACGATGATCACAGAAAAATGAAATATTTAAATTTTGAATAATATTTTCTGAAGTTATTCAGACTTATTGTTATTGACTGCAGGATGCTAAGTGCAGTCCAGATGGCTGACCAACATCTCGGAAAACCTGTTGTATTTGACCTCCAGGAACAGTGTCCATCAATCAAGGATGTCCAGCAGAGTTTTGAAAAGTTCAAAGAGTTGTGCCTGATTGGTAAACTTTTATTGAAACTTTGAATTAACAAAAAACTTGTTAGATAATCCTAAGTTCATAAAAACTCAAGGTGATGATATTTTCTGAATCAAATTCTGTTGCAGTGGAAAATGAAAGATTTCAATGTTTCACTAATGCAGAGAACGGGAAATATATATCTTTTGTAATTAAGGACTTGTATTCTTTAATAAAGAAAATAGTATATGCATATGCTGTGATTTTCTTTATAATTGAAGTTTTATGTTTTTTCTTTTGTTCAAAACTTCAAAAATTATATTAAGCTCTATAATTACTTTTGATACCAAGCTTGTTTGAGACTCAAGATCTGACAGAGTTTGAATTTATTTTGTGGTTGCAGAAAAAGGATTTTCTTGTGCAGTTGAAAAATAATTTAGATAAAAATTCTCTTATTTGAGACTAACTTTAGTTTCAAAGATCTGATTGTGTTGAAATTTATTCGGTGTCTACAGAAACAAAAAAGGATTTCTTAGTGCAAGACTCGAGCTGGATGTCCAGACTGGACGACACAGAGTGGTTACATCAGATACGATATTGTCTGCAGTGTGCCAGAGAAGTTGCAGACACTCTACATAACAAAAAACGCACTGTCTTTATCAAAGGTGAGTGTATTAGAAGTGATTGAATTCATGACATGTGACCACAAACGATGACATGTGACCACAAATGATGACATGTGACCACAAACGATGACATGTGACCACAAACGATTACATGTGACCACAAACAATTACATGTGACCACAAATGATGACATGTGACCACAAACGATGACATGTGACCACAAACGATGACATGTGACCACAAACGATGACATGTGACCACGAATGATGACATGTGACCACAAACGATGACATGTGACAACAAACAACAGTTTGAACCATTACTGTAAATCATATAGCTACCTTCTATACAATATTGTTCTGTCGCAAGTTCAATTTTCTTTGGTCATCGCAATTTTATTGGAGGTGAGGGGAGATATATTTTATCAGCGATGTCCATTCTGATCTGTTTCATCAGAATACTTTCGAGATCGTTGCCATATTTTGTCCCGTTCCAAATAAATGTCATATCTTACCAGAGATTCGGTTTACATTCTACACCAGAGTAGATTTTGATTTGTATTGAAGCAGAGATTTTATGCCTAAACAATATTTACAGTTATCTCCAGTTATTCACTTTCAATTTCTGTAGTAGTTTTGGAAAAAAATTATAAATTTCAATTAATTCTTCGGCTAAATGTTTGGGCTTATTCTCTAGTAGTTTCGAAAAAAGTCATAAGTTGATGTGAAATTTATTTACAGAAACTGATGGCCGTCACTTCACTTGTTTAATATCCAGTCTGACACAAGTGATGCTGAATCCCAAATGTCGCACCCAGGTTGGTCTGCAGGCGCTCATACAACGTGAATGGGTGGCTATGGGCTATCCTTTCCAGCGAAATGGAGGCCTTATTATTAAGGACGGGGGTGAGGAGGTAAATATTCAATGTCTTTGTAAAATCAATGAAACTGCTTCCATTTATTGTTGATTGCTAATTGTAGTTTAAAAAATGACTTCTGTTCTGTGTTTTTATTTTTTTTCTTATTTTGTTGATTTTACTGACTTCAGATTGAGCTGTCTCGTGAAAATTAATTTGCTCAAAACTTTTTACAATAAATACCTTTCCAGTAAGCTGTGTGGTTTCTCATGGAAATTATTCAGATCATTGATTTATCACAAATATTATATGATAATTAGTGTTTCTAAAACATTTACCATTAATAGAATTTCTTCATTTTAGAAATTCTTTCATGGGCTATGTTTTATAAAATATGAATTATGAATTATCATAGTTATTGATTATGAGATGTTAATTATTAGCTATTAATTATTAAATATTAGTTATTATAAATCTAAAAATAAATTTGTTCTTTTGAGTTTAAAACAACTGAATTATTAATTTGTTTTTCGTTGTGAATGTTTTTCAGCTTATTGATCTATACTGATTTATCTCCCTTAGGTACAACTCTTCCTGTTGTTTCTCGATTGTGTTTGGCAGATTTTACAGCAGTTTCCATCTGCTTTCTCTATATCTGAGACATACTTGACGTCAGTGTGGGACTGTGCTAGTTGTGGTTTGTTTGAGACTTTTTTGTTTGATTCCATACACCAGCAAACACGTTTCACGAGTGAAGGTCGCAGTTTGCGACGGTTTCGTCTCCCACCAGTTTGGGACTGGTCACGACAGTTCAGCACTAGTGACCAAACTATATTTAATAACCCTTTATACCTCATGAAGTGCAATGTAAACTTGAAAAAGGCAATCAAAGAGTCAAAACGTAAAGTTTTGTCTAATTGTCAGAAGATGGACAGGAATGAGCTGTATGCATACAAGTTGAACAACATGTACTCTGATGACGCTGAGGACAAGGATATGAATGTCATTCTGCCTGAGTACGCTGCTCCTGTGATAAAACTGTGGACACAATGCTACATAAGGTGGCAAGCTCCGGCACAAATCATTGGGGGAGGTAACCCATCCCAGTACCTCCAGCAGTGCCTCATAGTGGAGGAAATCATACACCTTCAACACCAGATCGAACTTCTACAAATGAATTCCAAAAGACGCACTGTTATGGCACGGCGACCTCAAAGCGACTTGATTTTCAGTGTTGGTATGGACATGCCAACGTCAACAGAGTTTCTCACAAATATGGTCCTGTCGTCTTCGTTCCCATTTTCGCCTGGTCCGTCCAAAGAAGATCAGCAACTCATGTTAACACCCATCAGTGCGTATCTAGTTAATAGTGCCATTGATTATGATTACAGAAATTCTGAGGACTGATGAAATTTGATCTTGGTTCAACATGCAACGCATCATCAACAAAGATCTTAAAATTCAGAGATGGATAGGTTATCTAGTAACCATTGTGTGATACTAAAGGCTTCCTTCTTAAATACCTCTATATATGGTTTTATGCAACAAACTGAGACAAAGTCTCATGGTGACCTATTCTAATATTCTTCATCCGGTGTCGTGCATGGTGCATTGTGCGTCGTGCATTGTGTGTCGTGCGTCCATAAACAATTTAATACTTTTGACTTCTTCTCAAAAAACCCCTGATCCAATTTCAATGAAATTTTGCAGAAACTTTCCTTTGCCTAAGATGAACCCCCCGGTGCTGAGGGATGGGGCTAAAAGGGGTCATATTGACTCATACTTCAAAAATCTTCTTCTCAAGACCAAGATATGGTATAATCAAATACTCTTCATGAACGGAAGCATCTTAAGGTGCTTTCCCAAAATTGTGAATTTCATGGCCCCAGGGTCTCACATATCCCCGTGGGATGGGGTAAAGTTTACTTAAGTTTATAAAGGAAAACTGGATTTTTGAGCATAATTTGTTTAATTTTTTTTTTGAAAAATTTCAAACTTGGTTAGAATTATGAGTGAAGGATGATGGCTTGATGGTATGCCCATTTTGATCCTGACTGACCCCCAGGGGCTGATGGGTGGGGCCAAAATGGGTCCTATGGACTTAAATTTCAAAAATCTTCTTCTCAAGACCCAGGTATAGTAGAATCAATACTCTTCATGAATGGAAGCATCTTAAGGTGCTTTAGTCACCAGAATGAGTCTCACATTTCTTCCTGGGGAGGAATATTTTTTTTAGACTTCACTCTAATTTTCATAGATTGTGTTTTTGAGCATATGGTTGGTTATTTCCCACTGGAAATAACTTTATAAGAATGATCAGTATAGGATGACAGTTTTGATGGTATGCATGTATTGCCACTGACTGTATTCAGTGTTACAATTTCTGTTTCATGACACTTGATAACTATCCTTTATCCTTTATATTAAATATTGCTTATCTCAGGTGACCATCAAGGCCGCTTGGCCTCTTGTAATCATTACATCTCCATAATAATAAATTTTAATTTCGTTACCAACAGATGATTCTCTCTGGTAGATGTGATACTGGAGGCAATCAATCGTCGATATAAATTGTCTTTTTTATGTATCTGAGGAAGAAATGATGCAAATGATGCAATATCATTACAGCACTAATAAGTGATAAATCCTTTAGTTATATTTGTATTTTAAATAAGTAAAGTATGCAATTAGGCTTTATTAAAGAACAGGGTTCAATTTAACCCTTGACCTCAGAGTCAAATCACCATTTGCTCCAAATGAGAAGAGTCAATGTTAGAATCATATAGGTATGACTTTTAAAAGTCAGGAATCAGGACTGAAATTTTGAGTTAAATATGTAGCTTCAAGGGTTGAATTAAAACTCTGATTTTCATTTTTTTTTTTTTTTTTTTTGAAGTTTATGTAATATTAAAAGAACATATGCAGGCATATAATTAGATCTTTATTGAAGTCCCTAACAAATATACACCAAATACAAATATGTTGGAATTGTGAGCTATTTTGGTCGCTGTAAAATTTTGATCGCTGATGCATCATACCATTGTGTCCTTCTTCTGGTATATATATATCTCTGAAATATCAGTTAAGTTGTAATGGTACATTTCATGTAAACATCAGCCGCAAACAATTTCTTTTGACCAAAGTTATAGAAATGTAAATGTACCAATGCTGGCTTACAATTATTTTGTTAGATTGTGTAAAAAAGGGAAGAGTTTTATTGTCACACTATAAAAATGCTTTTTTTCCCCCAAAAAAAGCAAAATTATATTTTCTTTTTTAAAATGTCCAAAATCATACCAAACCCATTGTTTATGATTGAATAAAAAAGATATTCATTTTAATTTCACTGAAAACATGTCTTTTAGTATTATAAATGGTGCTTATGTTAGATCATTTTTGTTGTGTTTGATATGTTTTTAAATATGTTGAATTATTTTTCACCAATCCTTTTAACAAAGATATTATTAAAAAGTTATCCCTGTAAGTTTCAAGTTAAAATTTGTAAATGTATTTGAAGAGCTGTTTAGAATGAATCACTGTACGCTGCTTGGAACTAAAAGTATATCATGAAGCACAATTATTTGATTGAAGTGACGTTTTTCGTAAAAAAGTTATTTTAAATGCTTTTATATATATGTACATATGTAAATAGTGTAAACCTCAAACAATACTTGAATAAAAGTAGATATGAAATTACTGAGAAGATTAGCCAGCAAGATCACCCAGACATTGTGGGTCACACATGAATTCATTCCTTATAAGGTTACAATAAATTCAGGTATTTTATCAACTTAATTCCAAAAATATATATATATATATATTCTTTGGCATAGAAAATGTTATTTATTCTATTGTAGAATTTGTTTTTATTGAATATATTAGTAAATCATATCTGTCTCAGATTTGTATGTTTTAAAGATATTGACTGCTTGTAGTACAACATGATATTATCCAATTAAATTATGATTCTACCTAATTTCTGGATAAATATAAATTAGTTACAGAAATTATATGAGATTCATATTGTAAGAAAATAGTCCATTGATTTGTTTCAAGATCAGTCTGTTTATTTTAACACTTCCACAGATTTCATTTTCAGAATTTCGTTTACCTGGTATTAGACCCGTGTCTACTCCCACCCATGTTAGTTCAGGTGAATTAACAACACATACTGTTTCATTGTCCCATAGGTAGACAGTCTTCCTACTTCAGTCAGAAATGACACCCCTGGACTTATCAGATAAATAAGGTTGAGGAGATAATAATTTATCATTTTGCTGAAATAAGCTTCAAAACCAATAAATAAGACTCCTGTCACAGTAAAATCTGCTGTTCTCCAACAATTAGCAGGTAATGAAATATTAAGATGTTTACTTGACATGAAGCCAAGGTCTTGTAATAATCCCACCCACTATACTGTAATCAGGTTAACTTTGAAAGTTTAAGAATTATGACTTATTGTCCTCAGTATTGCTTGAATCATATTGAAAATGTTTGTCATCCAAAGGAAGGGTTTTTCATAAATCATGTTTGTAGCTTAAGTATTTCAAATCTGTCAACAAAGCAGAGATATCTGTGATTATATCTACATGTATTATACGTGATGTTAATAGATGTGTCATTTATGATGCTTTTAATGACAACAGTGTATGGATGTTCACTCTGCAGAAACTATGCAATTGTGTTGTGGTCAACCTAGTGGTCAGCCTAGTGGTCAGCCTAATGGTCAACCTAGTAGTCAGCTTAGTGGTCAGCCTAGTGATCTACCTAGTGGTCAGCTTAGTGGTCAGTCTAGTGGTCAGCCTAATGGTCAGCCTAGTTTTTCACCGAGTGGTCAGCTTAGTGGTCAGTCTAGTGGTCAGCCAAATGGTCATCCTAGTGGTCAACTTAGTGGTCAGTCTAGTAGTCAGCCTTATGGTCAGCCTAGTTGTCCACCTAGTGGTCAAACTAATGGTCAGCCAAGTTGTCCACCTAGTGGTCAGCCTAGTTGTCCACCTAGTGGTCGGCCTAGTAGTCAACCTATTGGTCAGTCTAGTGGTCAAACTAATGGTCAGTCTAGTGGTCAGCCTAGTTGTCCACCTAGTGGTCAGCCTATTGGTCAACCTAGTGGTCAGCCTAGTTGTCCACCTAGTGGTCAGCCTAGTAGTCAACCTAATGGTCAGTCTAGTGGTTAGCCTAATGGTTAGCCTAGTAGTCAACCTAGTGATCAGCTTAGTGGTCAACTTGTTGTAAATTTAGTGGTCAACCTACTGGTCAATCTAGTATATTTGATATTTCATGAAGTTCTCTTTTGATCTCTTTGAAGTGTTTTTCTTTCAAAATGACATCTATGGTGATTAGTATGACTCATGGTTGAAAAATCTACTGCTGGAGTGGTCAGTGTGGGCAAGGCTAAGTTTGACCTTTGTAATTGTCAAACCTTCGCTTGGAAATTTCCAAGTGATTAACCAATCTTCAGTTAGTCAAGTCTTGGTGTGGCAGAGTGACCCATGTAGTGGTCAAGCTAACACATGAAGTAAAGCTGTCACTTAGAATGACCTGAGATTTTTCTACTATGGTCATTTCCACCTTCATTGTCATTTTATAGCCATTCCAACATCTGTACTTAAATATTATTTTGATTACCTCCCTTTAACCAATAAACTGACAGCTGTTTGATAGCTAATTATAACCAACATTTAACAAAGAATTGTAGTTAAATGGAACTATACCTCGCTTTGCTTGTTGTTTCTCACGAAGGCAGCTTGAAAAAATATGGACTCTTGACCCACTCGGTCAAAACATCATCAGCTTAACAGAGAGTTTAAAAAATATTCTTGTAAAAACTAAGTAGTTTGGAGTCTGCAATATCAGCTTTCTTACTGGACAAACAAATTGTTACGAAATTTGAAAGTATTTCCTTGAATTAAGAAATTGAAAATTATTTTATTCTTTTTACTTTTAATGAAAATGTTGTCAGCTTGAAGCTTATGTGTATTTCAAATGGAAACATTAAAAAAGAAAATTTGTGGATATTATTGATAAAATTAGAGTCCCTGATCATGGTCAGGATGATGTTTTAATTTATACAGTATAGATCATTGTGTGCTATCTAAAGTTCCATTTTTCATTTCTGTTGAATAACATTCCAATATAGCATTAATTACATGTATAACAAGCATTTCAATGATTTAGTTTTTTCCATCTGATTAATAAAATGGCAGAAAATGACCTGTCTTTCTGTTTTGTTTTTTCGTAAAACTGAGGGGTGAAATAACATCATACAATATAGATATATTACTAAACCTGTCAATAAAGACCACCAAGAGAAACAGCCAATCCCTTATGGACAGGTGACCTATATACACAGGTTCTAGTGTTAAAAAAGATAGAAATATGATTTACTCCTATTACACGTGCCCTAATAATACATGAACGTGCACACTGTGATACCAACACCAAACCCAAATAAATATCTTTTGTATCATATGTGATTCGAAAACTTTGGCGAATTCAGACTTTTTTCCATTTGTTCTGCTGGTTCAATAACCCGGCAGAGTTAGGTTGTGCTGAATTTGACGATCTTACTGTTGGACCAGTAGTACAGATGAGGCCAGCCTCTTTTTAAACATGTAATACATGATACATCCACCAAATGGTCAACTGGTCATTATGCCATTTAGCCACTTAAGGACACTTAATCCTATTTCGAAATCAGAAATACAAACAGACTTCAATGTAGAACTCAGTAAATAAATGATACTTTTTGTCTGTTTAAAATTTAAGGACTCTGGTGCTATACTACTCAAATTCCACCACCACATAATTTGGGTATTTTGAAAAAAATATTCCTTATTATCATCAACAAGATCTATTACTTGAACAGTGCAGTGTTCTCATGTAGAAGATGGCTCTTACTTAAGTAAGTGTCCATTTCATATAAGTCTTGTTTTCATTTGTTTTATTTCTGTTTTTTTTTTTTCTTCTTTTTTTTTTAGGGTTTTTTTTTTGTGTGACTGTGTGTGTGTGTGTGCAACTAGTGGTGACTTGACCGGTAGTTGACAAAAATCTCCTTTGTATTTAACCAAGTCTATGGTGAGGTAAAATGAACATTTTTGAGGTGGGTTTCATCAATGTCACAGGAATACAATGAAGGGGGAATGACAAGAGCAATACTAGGACAGGGAGAAACAAAAAAATGTAATACAAAGGGCAGGAAGAGACAGGAAAAGTAATACAAAGGACAGGAAGAGTAATACAGAGGACAGGAAAAGTAATACAAAGGACAGGAAGAGACAGGAAAAGTAATACAAAGGGCAGGAAGAGACAGGAAAAGTAATACAAAGGACAGGAAGAGACAGGAAAAGTAATACAAAGGACAGGAAGAGACAGGAAAAGTAATACAAAGGACAGGAAGAGACAGGAAAAGTAATACATAGGACAGGAAGAGACAGGAAAAGTAATACAAAGGACAGGAAGAGACAGGAAAAGTAATACAAAGGACAGGAAGAGACAGGAAAAGTAATACAAAGGGCAGGAAAAGTAATACAAAGGACAGGAAGAGACAGGAAAAGTAATACAAAGGACAGGAAGAGACAGGAAAAGTAATATAAAGGACATGAAGAGATAGGAAAGTAATACAAGGACAGGAAAAGTAATACAAAGGACAGGAAAGTAATACAACGACGGCAGGAGACAAGAAAAGTTATACAAGGACTGAAGGAGACAGGAAAAGTTATACAAGGACGGCAGGAGACAGGAAAAGTTATACAAGGGCGGCAGGAAACAGGAAAAGTAATACAAGGACAGGAAGGGGACAGGAAAGTAATACAACGACGGCAGGAGACAGGGCAGTAAAATAAGAACGGCAGGAGACAGGAAAAGTTATACAAGGACGGCAGGAGACAGGAAAAGCTATACAAGGACGGCAGGAGACATGAAAAGTTATACAAGGACGGCAGGAGACAGGAAAAGTTATACAAGGACGACAGGAGACAGGAAAAGTTATACAAGGACGGCAGGAGACATGAAAAGTTATACAAGGGAGACAGGATGCAAGGAAGGGAAGAGACAGGAAACAATACAGGTAAAAGAAGAAATAGCAAATTTATATCAGGGAGGAAGGAGACATAAGAATGAAAAGGGAAGACAAATCAACCGTCTAGAGAACGTTGGTGCTTTTTCCAAAGACGAAGGGAAATTATTTCATGCCCCACACAATAAACAATTTGAAGGCTTTGAGGGAAGGCGGTGGTCTACGTTATAATGAAATGGTACCGTTTATACCATAAAATAATTGAACATTATCTCCATAGCAATAGGCCAGTAGGTCGGTGTCTTTTGGGAATCTATTTCCATGAATATTTTGTTTGTTTGAGTTTTTTTTACTGATTTCGCCGCAAAAAGGGTTAATGGGTCGGGGTCGTTTCATAAGAGCACAATGAAATACATTTCAATCTAACGACTTTTGAAAGATTTTGTTTTGTCGGAAGGCGTGCTAAGGATATGTCGAAATCCTGTTAAGTTTGTAAGAATTTGGATACCTGCCATATGATTTAATAAAAGGATAATCAAATTGATACATATTTCTATGTCTGGAAAATATCTGTTTTGATATTAAATATGGTAACTTTGTCTGTAAAATTTACGACACAGTTAAAATATCCCGTCTGTTTCATTTGTAGGTTTTGCTTGAACGGTACATCAGGGAATTACAAGCATTACGATAAATTATTATTGGACGTGAAATTTTACAATACGTCAATTTAATATCAAACCCAAAAATATAATGCCCTTTTCGATATATCGCTTTCGTGGCCAATTCGACATCAGTGTCCGCATGTTTAAATTGAAGAGGTTTGAAATCGGGCCTTGTTCATATTTGATTACCTGTTTTTACGTGACGAGCAGATTGTCATTATGGTCCCAAGTGATCGGGCACATATGTTTTAACTGTGAAAAACCCAGAAATATTAGACTTTCTACCAAAACATGAGGTAATAATATCAATTGAATTCCACAGAGAAATGCTGAATTGATTTATTTTTTTATTTCATAATTTGGTATTTTTTAAAGTAATTTCGGATAGATAGCCATGCCAAAGATTACATTTTTGGTTTTACAATGGCATATGATCGATTTTATCAATAAAAGCAGTCTTTGGGTTCTCTCGGCGGAGCATTAAAATGTTTTCCTAACACTTAGGCTGATAGAATAGAAAAAGATACATCTGTCATATACCTATTTAACAATTCGTTAAACAATTTTGTTTCATAGGTATTACAGTCGAATTTCGCTTTATCCCATTCTGATAAGTCGAAGGTTTTGTTTTACTCGAAGTTTTCTTGAGAAGTGCCCGAAACTTCTCTATAGTTCAAGCATTTAAATAAAAACAAAAACCCACTTTTTTCCAATATTATTCTCGGATTTTTGCCATCAAAACTTGTGTGTCATGATAAGTCGTTTAATACTACTTTGGAATGAAAAATTGTTTGATGTCAAGACTTCCTGCAGGAACCTTGGAGTCGATCATCGTAGAATTTTTTCTTTTTTTTTCTCCTTTTTTCTTTTTACTTTATATTTTCTTATAAAATACGTACACGTATATTTGTGAGATATATCTTTTTCTGCATCAATGCTATCTGATAATGAATAAGATCAGGTGATTATGACGCTTTTTCGGCGAACATGTTTTTCTCGACCATTCGATCTTGATCAAAATGGACGATTTACAATACTAGCTTTAGTCGTGCATGCGCCCTGTCCTACGCTCAGGTGGGCAAGCGCCCTCAGAACAAAGCTTATGTACAAGATGTCTCTGGTACTTTTCTGTAGTGTTTTTTTCCATATATGTGTACCATCACAGGGCAAGGCGAGCGTGTGGAAATGTAGACCACTGTATTTGAAGTCATGTTTCCTTGCAGGTGATTAATTTGTAACAATGAGTCGAGCAGACCTGTGTCGCTAAGGATAAGTATTTATTTTTTGTTTATTTCCCGTCCCAAGCATACTTCAGACCAAATTGAGACAATTTGCAAGTCTTCCTACGGAAGAAGATTTTAAAGAATTTACTCCATGATTGTCAAAATCTCACACGGAAAATTTCCACCACTACCGAATTTGTTGATGTGGCTTCAATAATATTCCTTAAGTAATTCTGAAGAAATAGCAATCATAAAAAATGTAATTAATGGCG